TTAGAAATTAGCCCTTATGCAGCGTAATGAAGGAGTCGATATCATCAAAACATCGCAGAAAACGCCTTGTCAGGCTTGTATATCCTGGAACAAACTTCCTTGCCAGGCTTATATATCCTGAAACAAAGTCATCACTTTTTTTCAAGCAGTCACTTATGTGAATCTATGAGAAACCAAAAGCGCAAATAGTAATTCATCTCATTTTTTATTTTTTGCCTTCAATTCTTTGGCCCATTTTCGACATTTTGGATTAATTAATAGCAAAGTTTTGGTACGAACATTTCGTTACGCAATTGGCATTAAATGAAACAGTCTTGAAAAGTTATGAATGAGATGCTGGAGAATCAAGCTAAAGCGCAATATGTACCACAGATGTGTCCGTTCGTCTACATTTGTCTCCGATGCGAACAGACATTTATTTGAAATATACTTCTGTTTGAAATCATTCAAATTGCCTTCAAAGTGACATTATTTTCATTGACTGTAACAAAACTTTCTTTATCATAAAATAGTGATAACTTATCAGTCGCAATTCTGAAAAAAAAACTTGTTTAATATCAGTTTCTGGTATCATTTCCTGTCAGCATTTTTTATCGGCTCTATTACTTCGTTGTTTTTCATTGCTCACAAGTAATATTTCTTGATGCTTGAATTTCATTTTTAAACTACAACTTCATCTTTTTTTATTCCACTGTCTAAAGGCGTAGCCATTTTGAAGAAATATTCTCAGTTTGTTTCAGTATTTGCTTATTTTTAATTAGACTTTTAGTTTTGGCTAATATATTGTCAAATGGCACTCCATTCACCTCTCAAATTTTCTTTTGTATCTTTTCCAGACAACTATTCAAGCCCAAAAATTCATTACTTCCAACAGATTCGTTAGATTTTTTCATTTTTCATTCTTCATTATCACAGTACTTTTTGTATAGATAGCAAAGTAAAATTATCCAAATTAATGTCCGACTAATAGTTTGTGAAAGATTTTTTGAAATTTGACCTTCACAAAGTTTTTTTAATGAGATTGAGAGAAGTTAACCATGCCTTTTCAAGGAGTTCTTGAAATAGAAATTGTACCAAGAAAATTGAACTAAAGTAATGGTTCTTCTAATTTCTTGTGAGTTACAAAGTTTAGTTTTTTAGGCTTCAAAGCCACGTCTTTCGAGTATCACATTCTCGACAGTAACAAGTGCTACCGGACTACCAACAATCGCCGCTGAGCCTTCTAGGCCACGATCAAGCAGGTTGGGTCAAGAAACTTTACTTTTTGTGGAAAATTTTCTGAAACCTTTGTTATTAAGAAATATTTCAATAATAGTAGGATTTTGTTAGCTGACAAATCACTTATTCAAGTCAGTTACAATAACAGTTTTGTTTGATAGCTAGACTGTAGTTAGAGAAAGTTGATGCCGCACCTTTTCCTCCTAATCAGTTGAAATTAATTGAATGTTACAATGAAAATTTGGAACCATCAACAATTCAGGCCTAAAGCAGACCCATTTATTTTCCGGTAGATGAAATCGAATTTTATAGCTACTGGAAACAACCAGATCGTGAAGGTTGCAAGAGTGGAGCTAGTCCGGAGAATAAGCATTATTTTCAGCCACAAACATCCAGTACTCCTATAACTGATACCACCACCCTAAGCGGTATTATTTTCATTTTATTCTCTTTAATTTTCACTAATTTAAAGAATTATTTTTTCATATGAATTTATTTGTAGATGAAGAAAAGCAAAAGGAGGACATTCCACTGATTAAAACCTCCAAAAATAATCGAGATACACATGATGATGAAGTCGATGTGAATATCGTGGCCTGCACTAGGTATTTTCATGACCGTAAAGCCTTTGTTACCGTTTACACCGTATTTCGCTATCGTATCCTTTTTGCCGTATTATCCACGTCGGCATATATCAAAGTTCAATGTAAAAAATTTTTAAGCTAAAACTGGACATATGGTATAAGATTTGACAAAATCATGAATTTTTTTCCTAGTGTTCAAAGAATAAAATAAAATAAAAATAAAAAAATAAGAAATGCTTCATAAAAAATAAAAAATGTTTTATAGTTTGGGAAGAATTGAGGATTCCACGATACGTACATCAGATGGTACAAATTATAATTACAAGGAACTGAATTCAGATGAAGAGCTGGCCAGGATCGCAGAATGGGGCTTTCCTATTTTTCATTTTGCTGAGTGCCATCCGACAACAACACTTAGCAGGGTATGTTCATTTCTTGCAGCAAACTTTAGATTTTTATCAAAAATTAATAAACGAACAACTTTCATCGTTTTCAAGTTGTGCAAAGGACTGTGAAGCAATTTTTAAAGCATCAAGAAGTTTTAGCTTAAACAATCATTAAGAATTAAGACTCGATTGAATGCTAAAAATATGCACATTTTCTCAATACCTGAAATAATCATTCATATCGTAAAATTATAACGTGTATTTTGCTTTTCAGATAACATATTCAGTATTCCGCGAACATGACCTTTTTCGGATTTTCAAATTATCGCTAAATAAATTTTTTAATTTCTTTCATTCATTGGAATGCGGGTATTGGGACATTCCTTGTAAGCATTTGTAATATACTTCACTGATAAATCAATTCTATGGTATTTATTTCTACTTTTAGTTTTATTCATCCACAGTTACAGTAGTAATTCACTGATAATACTTTGAAATGAATAACTTTCCAGATCACAATCGTATACATGCAGCGGACGTGTTACACGGGTGTTATTATTTAACATGTCATCCAGTTTGTGCGTTCCTCGGAACACCAACCAATAATACTGAGCCTTCACTGTCTATTTCTGATAATTCACCGTTACCTCTGTCAAGCAGTATGAGCACACTTGAAGTACGTTTTGTAGATTTTTCGAAAACAATTCATTTTAATTTCTTTCAGTAGATTTGAAATTCATTTGAAGCGTTGTTAGCGCAATTAGTACTCTACAAATGTTTCAAAATCTGTATGATCTGTCACTTGTAACTCTTAAAATTTTGTCCTATGATATTGAACTGCATTATAACCAAAATCTGAGACTGCATAAGTTTCATTTCGATTAGAATATTAACCCTAAAAAGGACGTTGACGTCTATAAGTACTACTTGTCCCCGTATTTTTCCAAATTCTATAATGAACTTGTTGACTTGATACTCTCCTTCTTTCTCTCTCTCTCCCTCTTCCTCTCTCTATACATAAATTTATCATTTATTTGTTTATCTATTTATTTATTTGACCATTCATAAAACATTTTAATCTTTTTGGAGAAGAAGGAATTAAAATATTTAATAAATGATCAGAAGAAAAAAATATATCGAACGGGTAGTTGTCCCTTCTTATTTAAAAGTAAGGTTCTTATATATTTTTTTCCAGTTGATGGCTTTATTTACTGCTGCAGCAATGCATGATTATGATCATCCTGGCCGAACAAACGCATTTCTTGTCGCAGCTGAAGACAAAAAAGTTCGTTCGTTTTATTCTCTTCAAATTTAAATTATAAAAATTGAAATTGTAAATTTCAGAAGAAATTACTTCTTTCTCTTGATTAGCAATTGAGATGACGTGTCCATCCTTCACATTCAAATTTTATCAGTTACGGAGAAGTTTCTGATTATATATCAAACCGGTTAACAAAGGGTTCAGACATTTTTTGGTTTTCTCTAATTGTACTGTTCCATTTTTTCTTTTTTCATATAGATAAAAAGTGTTTATATATTGCTTTTTTCGTGAACGTTCTCTTTCTACGCCAAATTAATATTTTCTCTATTTAAAAAAGAAAGATGACAATCAGTATAATGAGTGACATGTTCGTTTAGTTGGGACATAAGCGCCAAAATCAATGCATTGAACAAATCCAATTTAATATCCATACCTAATAGATCGTTGTCTGTTTTATTTGCGTACAGAATTGTTTCATTCTGCAAAAGTAATAAACAATATTTTTTGGCAACAAAAAGTTTCCAACAAAATCAGAATTAGCGATTAAATGCAAAGGATCTAAGTTAATCAAACTTCGTAGAATTATAACAGTTCGAGAGAACGAACCCTTTTGACTTTTTCATTGGAGAGATTGGATTGATGAATAATAGCTAGTCGGACTATAAAAGGAACTAATAATTAATGATTAGATAAGATAATTTAATGATTGGGATTTTTTATCCTTTGTTGCGTCTCTCAACCTTTGATCTAAATATCAGCTAAGCTCGTAAGTTTCTCCTATCTGGGACAAAGAAGTTGGGATTCAGGAGGAATTCTTCAAATTATTAGTCTCATTAACTTAGTAGACAGTCAGTTACTATTATTTAACCAATAAAGAGCACGCAATTTATTAGCGCTATAAAAGATACTATTTTCCAACATAATCATGATAAGAACGAAAAAATTTAAAAGGATTTAAGAACGGGTGACCTGAATTTCCAGAAAAGGATGTTTTAAAAATTAGCAATTAAAATTATTATGTTACAGGCTATCTTGTACAATGATCGATCAGTATTGGAAAATCATCATGCTGCTGAATCATGGCGTCTGCTGTCGAAACCAGAGAATTCTTTTATTGAAACGTTGGATGCCGCTGAAACGAAACGATTTAGGTGCTCTATTAATGTTTGTGTTTTTAAGCTGTCAATAAATTTGTCACATGATTGGCCGATAATTTTACAATTGAATTTTGTGCAGTTCACACAGAGTTGCTTACAATGAAGATAGTTAAATTTTTAAATTTTATTCATTTATCCATCCACTCTAGAATTACATTGCAATGTTATAGCATTACATATAAGGAATACTTATGCTGTTGATCCTAAAATGTACTTCACCATTGTAATGTTAAATATGTCAATTACGACTTGTGGAAGATGACTTTCTTTGTGGTACTTCTTTTTTTCAGATATCTTGTACTGGAGTATATCCTCGCCACGGATCTCAAACTACATTTTGATATCATAATGCAATTTAATGAAAAGGCACCAGATATGGATCTAGGCAACGAGTCAGATCGTGTTATCATTTCACAAATGCTCATTAAATTTGCTGATATCAATAGTCCTTCTAAACCATATCCACTTCATCGTCAGTGGACCGATCGCATTTGTGAAGAGTTTTATGCTCAGGTATGTATTTGAAATAGGTAAACTGATCCGGTCTGTAATGCTCATTTTCTCTCAACAGTGTTGGAATTACTCTAATGAATATTTTACATAAATGTACACTCTCTTAAACATTAAATGACAGTAAAATGTTTAAATAAGCCTTAGCTTTGGTCGATATTTAGTATTTTAGCAATTTGTTTTCAGATTCTCTCTTCCTACTTAGATTTATTTACAGATTAAGAGTGCTTAAATTTGTTCTAGGGCGATGAAGAGAAAAGACGTGGTATGGCAGTATCACCATATATGGATCGAAATGATCCAGCAGTTGCCAAATTACAGGACTCATTCATTTCTCATATAGTTAATCCATTAGCTGTTGCTCTGAATGAAGCAGGTCTACTGCCGATTTTACCAGGTCTGGAAGAACCTGAATTGATCATCAACTTGAAGCACAATCATCAGAAATGGCTCAACGAACTAGAAGAACAGATAGCTTCCACAAAAGTCATGGGATCAGGCAATATTGCGCCTGTGCTCAATCAGCCGTCTTCATTATCATTCAAAACATCTGATAATGTAATCGTTGAAGAGGTTTGCCATTTATCTTGAAATGTTTAAGATCAGATTGTCCTTCTATCCTTCCTACATTCCATTTCTCTCTTATTTCCTTCTGTTCTATCTATCCTTTCATAAAAGAATTAGTATATCGCAAAGTAATTAATATTATTCTGTTGGCGAATGACAATGATCAGTGAGAAAAGGACATGAGAAAGGCAAACTAAACCATCTGAAAAACGATGGAAATAACAAATAAAATTTTGTGCCATATGAAATGTAACATGAATTGCTTAAGTTAAGCTTAATGAAAAAATCAAATCCACATCAAAGACAGCTAAATTTCATTATTTACATTTTTTTTTTTTAGAAACGAATTCAACAGATATTGAACAAAAAAAAGAAAAGGAAAAGAACAGTGACAGTGAGAAAAGGACATAAGATAATGAATTAGCTTTAATTAGTTCTCACTTTGTTTGATTAAAACTTTTTCAGAGTAGTAATGAGGAGCAAAACAGTGAATCGTGTAGTAAAGATTTTGAAAGTGAGAACGGATATTCAAGCGAACATATCCAAGTAGCTTTTTTCTACTTTTATGAATTATTTTTTTTTTCCATTATCTTCCCCTACTTTTATATAGTTTTTCTTTTTGTTTTGTTTTTTATCTGTGGGAAATACTTCATTTATTCCTATAAAAAAATTTTCTATGCCTGCACTTTATTTTTACTTTATTTTACTCTCTGCTACCTGCAACATTTGTTTGTTTGTTTTTTTTTGTCTTTTCTGCTCAACATTCCTCTCAAGAATTTACAGTTCAACGGAAAATTTTTTTAATTTAAAACTTTCAGTAATGGTATTTTTGTGGCGATTGGTTTGAAGCGGTCAGTACCTACTGATATATGTGCTGGTCATTTTTGCTGATACTTCCTCGCATGTTTTATCCTCAAATATACTTGTTTTCTCACAAATTGAATTTATTTACTGGGAATAAAATAAATTTTTTCAAATAAAACTCTCATCAGTAATTTGATTTCTCTCTTTTAAAGCTCGATTTCTTCTCTTTTTTCTTATCTAACATACTGGAGAATTTCTTCATCACCATAGTAGAGTGTATTAGAATCGTAATGAATATGCCGTGAGATTCTGTTTTTCGCTCACAAGAAATTGTAGCAGAGTCGTGTGAGTAGCTTTGATATTTAAAAAAAAGAGGAAAAGAAATTTTAACCATGAAGGGCTCCTTACCCTAAGGCATATATCATCTTTAACTTCCAGAAAATATTCATGTTAGCAAGATCCAATTTCAAGGTTTGTTTATTTCTCCCGAAAGCAATAATATCAAATATGATAGCAAATTGCTGTTTCAAAATTTGATCTTCTTGAAACATTCAATTTTTGTGATTTGAGGCATATTCGATCGGCTTCTTCAAATAATGAATCCTTTTCAGCTTTTCAATTCAAATAACAAATCATTAAAACTAAGGTAGATTTCTTAAAAATTGCTCCAAACTTCTTTGGCACTAAATTTTGAAGGCAAAGGCTAAGTTTTGATGTGCAACTTTCAGTAACAGTTAAAAATATGATTTTTAAAGAGAACGAAAATGATGAGTGTTTTTGATCGTTCTCTGCGTATGCTTTAGAATGATGATATGTTAAGCAGTTTAAAAAATTATATCGGAAATGAAATTAGTAGTGGGACAATTGATCTCTGTGCTTTTGTAAAAATCCATTTCTTTTTTTTTTGTTAAATTTCATGAGCAGTTCTCGACACTGAAACAGTATTATTCATTTAAGTAATTTAGTTATTTTTATTAAAATGAAGTCATCATATTTTAGAAAGCTTTTTTGTTTCCTTCTCCTGTTACTCTTTAAATTTTCATTTTTCATTTGTTATTTCCAACACACTTATGCACCACATGCTTCTCAGTCATTGATTAACATGCTTTAAAAGTTTTATACAAGACAAAGATTCTACTTTTTTTTTGTATTAGTTCACCGTGTCGTTTGTTAATGGTATTAGCTTGATATCAGTGTATTCAATCTTGGTTTTGAAATTTCAAGGAATGTTTTATCTAGCCAGTTGACTGTTTCTTCGAATAGTAATCCTGAATTTGATTAAGTTTAAATCATTACGGACTGACGTATGCCTCATCACTACTCCAATTCGTCACACTAATAGACTATTTATCTGATAAGTTATATTGTTTTCAATTTAAATTATTGGGTAAATCTTGAGAAGAATTATAAAAATGGACCAATTTATGGGATTCATGTTGTTTTTTTAGTTGAATTTTCTGTTCTTTTGCATGTGTTGTTGTATTTTGTTGCATTTTTCTTCTTTTTTCTTTAATTCAGTTTTCTCTAAATTTTTTTCTTTTATTTCTTTAATTTGTTCCTTTAATTCGTTAGTGTTCAAGTCAACTGTAGAAGTAATGCAACGTCTCATCGTACTGCAAAATGATATTTTGAAAAATTTTGAAAATATTCCAAGCTTAAGTTCAACATACTTCCTTATGAGGACAAGTAAGGAAAAATGCGTGAAATATTCTTGACAGAAAGCTAGCGTCGTTCAACCTTCTTAGCCTGCATGGTTCAGCCTTTCATTTTTGATAGCAAGGAAGGTTAAGGCACTTTTTTTAGTTTATTTGAAAGCAATTTAATAATTTAAGTTTGAACAGTCAAAATTGGTGCTGACATACGATGACAGATTGGCATGTTCCAAGAGAGAGAAAAAAAAAAAGGAATAATGTTTTGCTTGATATCGTATTAACAATTAACAGTCTAAGCGAACAGAAGCAAGCAAAGACTGAACCAATGAATACTGAAAGAACACTGAAATGGCACTAATATGAGGGATTATGTCATAGCATTTGACGAGGTTGGGACAAATTCATTCTTTCTAAAATGAAACAGAACGACTGCTTCTATGAATCATTGAAAAGTTTGCTCTGTCATTTCATCGCCGAAATGGCATTACTTAAAATAATTTGAATAAAACAACGTACAAGATTGCAGAATGCTATGCGGCAAAATGGTTTTTTTAGTTTTGATGTAAAAAGAAAAACCGCCAGTAACGGACTTTTAGCAAGCGGTCTAACGATTTGCAGGTAACATGCAAACGGCGCACTGAATACCTTATCTGCATGCAAATAGTACTACTGCTCCAGCCATGTATGACGAACTTTTAGCAAACGATGCAACAAGTCGCTTGCTTGTCCGCTTCATTAAATAGACTATAAGATGACTTCCTCCCTAGCAGACTGCCCCTAGACTTTCTTCCTGCTTCCGTATGCTGCGTTATTTCGCCGAACGAAATGAGTACAGTTATACGTGGAACCTGACTGAAAGCTCTTCAACGGCAATGTGTCACAGTTCGAGTTCGCAAAAAAAAGTATGTCACGTCCGCATCGAGCACAAGTCACTTATTTCGCTATCTTGTCCTCTCTCCTTTTTCTTTACTTCTCTTTGTGTACATGTCTCATCGTGTTTGTTGCATCGTTGTTGAGTGTCATTAAATCGATCGGGAAAGATAACGGAGAGCAGAATACACAGCAACCACTAATGCTATCGGAGGCATCGGTTAGACTGCACTCTGATGTCGTCCTCATTATCGAGGTCTAACGAAAATGTCTCCTTGCAGATTTGTTTTGTTTAAGGAGGATCTAAGCTGGTAGTACTTGACACAACTTTAGGGAATATTTAGGATTCCTTTTGTAAATTGTCTATTACTATTGTTTGGAAAGTGAAAGGTCGTCGAATAGTTGCACACTTCGTGGCTTTTGATTTTTGTTTTATGGGAATCAATATTTTTCTTCATTCCAAAAGTGAATAGAACTTGAAAAGAAAGTGTTTCACACCAGAAATTATCATGCATTACTGATATCACAATAATAAGCATTTGAAATGGATAATTTGGAATCAGAGAAGGCTGACGGAACGGATTCTCTCGGATTGCATCGATTCCGGAGACCATCACTATTCTGAAACGTCTTGCATTTCGCCTTGACAAGAACATAATCACCTTCAATAAACTACTTGCAATCAGTCTGTAAGCTGTGTACGGAGAACTGGAAGCGACAAGAAGTGACAGTTCAGGTTCTACTACTGAGACATTATAAGTCGTTAACTCAAAAATTTTGGATCAATTGGGAGCCACTGGTTTTTGTTAATGGGTCGTTTATTTGTACTATATTTGCAACTGCAAATAATGCTACTCACCGGGATAAGAGTAATCCTAGCTATCAAGGATGATAATGCTCGAGTGATTTCGATTGTGGAACAATTTGAGGATGACACATTTTGGGAATTTCGTTCAAAGGCAGTGCGACGTGCACAGGTTTCGAAAAAAACTTGGAATGAGTACGTGAAATATAAAGGTAAGCAGCATTTAAAGTTTACCATTGTACCTATGAATAAAAGGATATGCACACGAGCAGTTAATCCAGTTTTCTCTCTAAGCTATATGAATATATTCTGTATAGTCGTTCTGTATGCTGTGACGAAACAATTCAATAAGACATCTTTACACTTAGATCAAGTTGACTATAGTATGTAACCCCTGTTATAACCATACGTTTGCACAGTCATTCTGATTTTCACTATTCCCCTTCTTCAGAACAAACATGTCGCTTGGAATTCGAGAAAGATGTAGAATCAAAGGCGAAAGGCTATCTGAACTGGGAAGAAATGGCTTTCCACAAAAGTTTACGGTTAAAGTAAATCCTGATATTATTGTAACTAGTGAGATTTAGCATAATGGACTCTCAAAAAGCTTCTGGCTAATGCTTGTCATAGGTTTTGAAGGTATATAATATAATTTTAGGTTATTGCCAAGCTTGGCAGCCGGTGATGCTTTATCATACGAAGATGCAGTCATGTTATCTAATGTAGATAGCCGCCTGATTTCACCAGAGCCGGAATCGCTTTGCAAGGTTGGCGTAATTGATGATAGCGATCAAAACGAAGTTGCTGAGAAAAGCCGTTTTGAAGATACTTTGATAAGTCGGCAAGTTATTTTTTCGTAATTATAGTTGCTATTTTTTCTCTTTTCTTGAAACTCATTACGAAATTCATTTACGATTTCTTATGTTTTTGATTTATTTTTTGCTTTGCTTTTCACTATTCAGTTACATTGCAATATAAAATTTAAAGCAGATGCTGCTGGAGTTTTGAATTTCTCTGAAAATATAAAGAATATTCCAAATTCATGTTAAGGATGACGCCTTGGAAGCACTGTAGGTCTTCTATAAGTTCGAACAAGTTTTATATTTTGTCCTGGTTCTTGATTGATACTGATTGCCTCAAAAGGCTGAATTCTGTTTTTGTACTATAAATAAAAGCCTTCATCTTATTTACTGGGTTTTTTTTACTGTTTCGTATGTCTTAAAATGCTCTAACATTCACTTTTATTTATAGTACAAAAGGATTTAAATGAACGCATCTCTCTTGCAGTGGGATTCTCTTCCAGTAATAATTCTCCCTGTATGCATGATTTTTTTACAAGAAATAGGACTTTTCCATTCTACTTTCCCCTTTTTTTCTCTTCCATATAATACGGGACTGATAAATTGGTTTAAATTAGGAGATATGAAAAGTTTCTAGGTTGTACTGATAGTTTAGTAAAAAAACGAGTAAGTAGCAAGTCTGAAATTTGGTTTGCTAAATCTTTTTTTTGTCATGATTTAGTGAAGTGGTGAAATAGGGTGGTATTACAAGTTAAAAATTATTCCTTTTATTTTTTATTTTTTAAAGGAGAGATTTTCGACTACAGTTCATCCATACACCACTATTCTACGTTTATTTTTTTCTCTTTTTTTTCTTGTTTACAAACATTCATTTCATTATCCATCACAATTAGTCCTGGCACTTCATTTATTCAATTACTGCATACTTCATTTGACATTTGTTTTTGTTTTTGCTCCATATAATTTGAAAATAAAAGCCAATCATAGATTGTTATAATTGCTTGTAGATTGTTCCGGAAAGAAATACGGGAATCGGAACAAGGAAATTCAGAGCATTAAGCATGATCAGCTGTCTGATTCTTAAGCTAATTTTGATTGCATCATAACAAAAAGAACTCGAAGGATCTGTGCTAATCAATAACTAATTTGTCTAGGAATTTCATGTAGAAATTCTGAATATTGAATTCACAAACTTGTTGAATGACTTTGTGAAAATGTATGTCAGTCTCTTTCTGGTCGAAGGAAATTCTTGGAACATTTAAATTGGTTAATTTATAATTTTCCCTTAGGAGATTAGTAACAGATATTCTTAAGTATCATTTGTTCTAGATTAGATGACAGAAAAGTGCAGTTGAAGGATTTTTTATGAAGAAGACTGAATACATTATAAAAAAGTAACTACATACTTTTTCTACTTGTACTTTATATCAGCTAATTTATTGCTGTAGCATCTTTCATGTGTTTTCCCATCAGTATTGATGTATTTGCTGTGAATCATTCTTTGATATTTGTATATATTTATTTATTTGTACATATTCATTAATTTATTTATATACCTCTCAGGCAGTATTCGTTTTTCTACCTCTTTGGTTCAGCAGTGTACATCATTTATGTACTCGTATTGTCTTTCATAAAAATGTTTGCTAATGAATGAATACTTTAACAGTGTCATTACCATGTGGTGCAGGAAAATCTTTTTGAACGATGTCATGAAGATTTATTTTATTTTTTGAAAGATTTTGATGAGATTTGTTTTATTAGGTTTTCCTTACTTGTATTTTTAATTTGGTCTGTTCTTTTTCGTTTTCTCGTGTACCGTTTATCTTCGACTTTTGTTTTCTTTGTATGTGGAGGTGTGGAGATGAAATTATGCCCTTACAAAAATAAGGAATTCCAGAATGGAAGGTCCTTGACTGCAAGAGTAGAAGAAGTGAGGTAAAGATTTCTGCATGATATTAATCTCCTTTCCGATCTAATCCCATTGATGATTTTGTTTGATATTTCAATGTGTTGCAGAATTTTTGCTGTGCCAGTTTTCGACGACGATTACGACTATTAGAATAATATTTCGAAGCAGTATCATACAAACTGACTGTAGTAATAGCTGCTGGTGATAATTTTTAATGAGAAATGACAAAAATTCATGTGTTTAACTATTGGTAAGTTATAAATAAATGGTAAGCGCAATGACCATTTGTCTTTCCTCGAATTGTTAGCGGTTGAAATTCAAATTCACATTTGTGCATTTATATTTACTGTTCCTGTATGAAAATGCTTCACTGAAGCGTATTTATGAGTATTAGTGATTATGAACCGTTATCATTTGGGATATGTTGTGTTTTCATAATTTAAATTGTCACTGCCGCTCTGGAACTTGTATTGTTTATAGTGTTCACTGTTTCTTCACCTTGTTCTTTGTGAACACGTTTCGAACTTTGTTCGTGAATGCGTAGTGATAGTGGTAAGCATTAAATGTATTTTCTTCAAGTTGTTCATAATTGGATTTATCCGACTATTATGGTGAAAAATGATCGAAATTAGGGAAATCCCTGTATTATAATGATTTAAATCCCGACTAACGGTTTCGCCGTGATTGCTAAGTAATTCGCCGTGATTGCTAAGTAATTCATTATAATGATAATGTTTCAGTTTGCAAATTTAATGAGACTTTTCTTGAAAACTTGTTCTTATGTGATCTTCATTTATTAATTTTCGTTTCTTTCGTAAGATTTCAATTGATAATTTAATAATTATATTCCTTGCTACATTTGTAAAAGAATCCTTCGCTGGAAATTATCGAATTGTTGCTGTCTGTTTACCATCAGATTGTCAAAGTTATAACAAAGGAGATAAGGTTTAGTACTCAAAAACATAACCAAGTAGTGTAGTCGAGTAGTCCAATGATCTAAAAATTTCCTTTTCAAACTTCTAACTGAGTGCAGGAATTTTTAAGATTTATTCAATATTTCCTCCTCCTCTGTGCTTTTTAGTTTTGGCTAACAAGTCCAGGAGATTCAATCAACTTTTAGAAATATTAAACCGTAAGAAAATATATGGAATGATTCCAGTTATGCAATCAATTTACAATATAAGCTTTGACAAGGTGTACGCACACTGCAAAATATTTAATGATCTGTATGTTACTGCATTTTAGAAATTTTATAAAACCCAAAAGTTACTTGAGGTTCTATGCAGAAAAAGCGAGAGAGAGTGATACAGTTGAAGAAAAGGAGCTGTTCCATATATATATATATATATATATATATCCATTGCACTTGTCATATTCAAATAACTAGTCAGCACAAAGTGCTGACGTTGAAAATTTTTTACCTTTAAAAATATTCACGGCAAATTCCCTTCGCATGTTTTACCGTCGTCAGTTATCCAATCTGCACTAAAATTTTAGGAAAATTTTCCTAAATGGAAGTATTCAATGGACAGTTTTTAGTAGGCAGCGTTCCTCAATAACCTCAGATTTCGAGATTTCCTTTGACCACCCCAAATTTCATAATATTTAAATTTTCTTGATTTAAAAACCAAAAGATGTCTTATATTGACTCTATCAAACTCTATCACCATTATTGGGACAGTTCGAGATCAGTAAAACTCCACCTACGTCAGATAAAAACTATGAAAAGAAAGTCATCATGTTTTTAGTGTCTTCCATGAAATATGTTTATATGCTCAAACTGTATTTTAACTGAGGTCATTAAAATTTTAAAATTTATAGGTTTGTCTTGAAATACCTTACTCAGCAACTTTCACTCTTCGCTTGCCAAGGTGGTTTGAACCGAAAACGTTTCCTTCGACATTATTTTATATCATTTTTTATTATCATTTTCTAATCAATTTTTATCACTTAGTATCACCAGTCATTTCTACTGCTATTCAGTGCCAATTAATTCATTATTTGCAAGCTGTATCATACCCTTACAATTTTTGATCAGTTAGTTTGATTATGAATGTAAGAACTTCATAAGAAATGTTCCTTAATAAATCCTCGGGAACATGACTGATTGTGAGTGATATCAAAATGGCAATTTTGACTTTGAACGGACCTATTTTCGGCTTCCTTAAAAAGAGTTAATTTCAATTTTCAAGTGGAATTTCAAAATTGCCAAAAATAATGATGGGAGCTCATAACTGTTCTTCAAAAATGTGACATTCGCGTATAAAAGCTTAAACCATTTTCGAACAGTAATTACTGTATTTTTAAGGAATATGGGAAATTGAGAGAGCCGTTTGAGCATAATAATGTATTTATCAATCACTCAAGTAAAAAGGAAAATGAAGGAATTGATAGTTAGTTGATCAAGGCCAACAAACCCATCTGTCAAAGCAGTTTCGGTAAATTATCATGGTCCCTTAATATATCTAATTATATTATGCTAACATCAAAAAGGACGAATTCTTCTTTCTTTTCAATGCATCTTATAGATGTAACAAATTACAACTCATAGTCTTTTTCGAAAGTAACATTCCAATTTTACAGCATTCCCAGTGTGATACTTTCCAACACGAACTCATGCAGATTTTTCGAGATTTGGAATTTAAAACTAAGACGGGAACCTTCGACTTTCAAATAATAAAAATTACCATAACATTATCATAACTTCTTGCTGTTAGTAGACTGCAATACTAAAATAAATTATTTTATTAACAACAGTATATTTTATCATTTTCGTAATCAGTATGTCCTTTAATGGACTTCACTAATACAACAGCGAAATTCATCAAAATACAAAACTGCTCATAGATTTCGAAATTCATTAAACTAATTTGTTTCCACTTCATTATTCGAAAGAGATTAATTCCTCTTCAATAAATATATCTAGTAAGTAGTCAATAACAAAATGAGCCAGACAACAGTGAAATTCATGCTAATACGTTGATAAAATTTCCTAAAAATTAAGATTTTTCCTTTTAAATCAAATCAATTAAAAAAATAAATCCCGCCCCTCCTCGCATCAACTTCCGCAGTAATATGAACTCGGCACTCTAAACAAGATTTACAATTTTCAGCTTATTTTTCATGCCACAGCTTCTTTGAGTGTATCAAACGGAGTAGCTAAAGGCAATTCGCCACAGTCTATAATTTCAACATCTTGTTGCGGACGATCCCCTGGATGCGTTGCAGTATGTTCAATTTTTCTAACAACATCCATACCTCCTAGAACTTTTCCAAACACAACATGACGACCATCTAGCCATGTTGTTTGCACCTGAAATTATGCTAATTACTATAATATTTCCAATTTATCACCTGAATGAGAATGAAATTTGAGCTGCGATCGTTACAAATGCTCTCTTGTAAATTAACCGTAGTTATGAAGAACTGCGATCCATTGGTGTCTTTTCCTGCATTAGCCATACTCAACCAACCAGCACCGTAATGCTTCAATTTAAAGTTTTCATCATCAAAACGATCACCGTATATACTTTTGCCACCAGTCCCATCTCCTCTCGTAAAATCACCACCTAAATTAAAAAATTCTGGATAACGATTTTTTTATCTATTTCTAGTTAAATCCTAGAAAAGCAAAGCGAAAAATTAACCTTGTATCATGAAATCTTTGATTACACGATGAAATTTGGACCCTTTATAACCGAAACCCTTTTCGCCAGTAGCTAGTGCGCGGAAGTTTTCTGTTGTTTTCGGCACGTCATTACCAAACAGACCTATTTCTATTCTTCCAACCTAAATTTTTGGTAATTTTTGAAAAAACTTCGAAAAACTGTAAAAAATGTATGCATACGGATGTACTAGTCTAGTATAAAACTTCTCCTGACCAGAAAGTTTATTAATTAGCATAAGTAATTGCAGTAGCATATTCGCAAGTACGAACCTTTTCACCACCGATAGCAATATCGAAATAAACTTTTTTAGTAACTGTTACCGTTTCCTTGGCATTGCAAGAGCTATAAAAAATGACAAATATGGTGGCTGTCCTCAGAATGAAGTCCATAATTTCTGAAATGATTTGATAAAGAGTTAATATTGCAGTGGGAAGCATTAACAAATCTCGTCGAAATCTGAAATGAAATATTTCTGTCCATTTGAATTAATATATAATGGAGCAAATATAACACATATATTGTAATATAACACAAATAATGACACTGAAATGGTATGGAACTGTAAGACTGAAATTAAAATCTACAAAATAGAAATATAACAGTTTTTGCATTTTCGACAATGTTCCAGTGCGAAGTTTCTAACTAAATGTTCCCTCCTGTTTCCGGGATTTGTCATTTTTCATTAATTCTAACTACCTTAAGAAACTGAGAATACCAATCCGCTCGACATGTCTCTTCAGTGATAAGGGCAAAATCTTTGGTTAAGTTATCAGATGTAATGAATTTAGGAGTAGATTTACTAGATGCAGTAATATCACATACAAATCTAGCAAGGGTGCTTAGATAGAGTCCTTTCGGAACAAACCTGACAATATTCATTACTCCGGAACGACCGTTTCGAGGTTTATTTTCCGCTTTTACCACCGATGAATATAGGCTCTTTTGCTGATTAGAAAAAATAATGGAAATTCTAAATCGAAAATTACAAAAAAAAGTTCGAGTTATTCAAGATTTAAACAAAAGAAAATCACTTTCCATAATTTAAGACTCGAGATATTTAGAGAGTAGCACTTCATTTATGATAACGGCTGTCCATCAATAAGAAGTGGAGGCCATGCGACAGCTACATGCACGCGAAAGTTTTATGCATGTGAAAGTTGCATGCATGCAATTTGGTAATGCGAACCAAAGAATAAAAGAGTAACCATTGGTAATTACATCGAAGCACGAGAGAGAAATGTAAGCTGTGTAGGGAATGCAACATTGCGGCGCTGTTGATTTTTTTCATTTTTGAAAATGAAAGTTTTGAAAGAGAACAAAGGCTACTCACTAAGGTTGAGTGAAGGGTCAAGAACTTTCCTGTCATGGGTCAAACCGTAAGTATAGGAAGATATAACAGATGAATCGATCTGACAGCACACCAACATTCCTTCATCTTCCGGTTCCTACAGTTCATTAAGAACTGAGAAGGAAGATACCCACACGCACACACCCACATCCACACCCACATAGGTACATACCCACACAAACACACAGATACAGGGCCGAGAAAGCGCATAGAAACGGTGACACTGTGACCGCTCCATCGGTTCGATAGAGAGACGACTACACTCTGCTCGATATTTTTCCAATAAACCTTGAGAATATTTGGAAGGATTGAAGTTATAAATTCTCTAACTAGCTTAAATAGAGCTAAGGCTACGTTCTGGCCCAAGCCAAGAAATCGGTACATAGAAATATCAAATGATTAAAACAATGCAAATTATACAACAATCACTGATCACTGGTTGATTTTATATCTGAAAAGGGTCCAATTAAATTGTAGTTGGCTATTTGTAATAAACTGAAATTGTTTGAACTGGAAAATGGAACCAGAAAAGGGAAATAAAATCACACAGGGAGAAGGTAGATTCCACCAATTTTGAAAACCACAGAAAATGCAATGCCTTATGATTGTATGTATGCATGTATGTATCTATGTATGTATGTATGCACGTATGTATGTATGTATGTATGTACGTATGTATGTACGTATGTATGTATGTATGTATGCACGTTATGTATGTATGTATGTATGTATGGATATATATATATATATTATGTGTATGTGTCTATGGAAGTTTGTGATTTCCTGTGAAATATTTAGTCAGTGATGGAGGTGGGGTGTCTGACTCCAACTTCCACCAATTAATTCTTTAGCCAATATTTTATTTTCCATTTCCAGGAAAAATCAAAAGACGTGAAAGAATGTCACGCCACTCAATGCCATAATTTCACGTTACGTAGATGAAGATGTGGTTGGATGGTTAATTAGTTAATGAGTTCGTGAATCTAGCCACTGCTCTTACGAAATGTTAAATGGATGTGAAACAATGAGTTGAAAATAATGGAAATTGTTGTAATGAAGTTACACAAATTAGAACCCTTTCTGTCATCTCTCTTTGTCTCTCTGTCTCTCTTTTTATTTGACTTGCATAGGACGAAAAGATTTCAACCACTAATTCGAAAGTTAACGAAAGTTAGAAATAATTACTAATATGACACAACGGCATTATATTTCGAATTCAGTTTGAAAATAACATTTTCCTCTAAAATTTCAGAATCTGAATTCTTCTAACTTCTGAATCCAACTTCCAGTTTTCATAAAAGGGTTTCCAGAAGTCCTCAGATGGTGATGCACGTTATCAAATTCAAATCACGACTACACTCAGAGATCTTGGTGGTTAAAAGCACTCATCACTGAACTTCCATACTTCGTCGCCGAGCTTGACGTCACCAACTACTACTACGAAATTGTGCCGCTAAGCCATCATGACGTCAACTTCCCCTCCCTGAGTTTGACATTTTGGAATTTGATTGTTGGATAAGAACAAGTGGTAGAAAACTTTTTTGAAATCATTTTTTTTTTTTGATGGAATTAAGTCAAATTGAATTATTAGATGAAAAGTTTAAATTGTATGCTATCCGACGAAACAACCAGTCAGTCTCATTTCCACTTAGTATGCAAATGAGAAAAGCAAAAGAAAAGAAAAACTGCTAAAAACGGTTTCTGTGCTGGATGTTCGTCACTTTTTGCTTGGATGGTCCACTCGTTCTGAACATTTTGCCTTGTCAGATTTCCTTGATTGCATTAATAAATTAATCCATAAGTAGTTTAGTTACTCAACCTGATACTGAATCTAAGCAGACCAAAGAAATCTGGGATGTTCGAATGTAACGAATCAAACTTTTCGAAGTTTCGCAAACATTCACCTTCCTCCATGCACTACGCTTAATATTTCAAACGCTAACATACCAGATTTAAGTTTTACTTTGCTATAATCCTGAATTCATTCTTTATTTTATAACAATTCAGGGGAATAACTGAAAAAATTGTTGAAATGGCAAATGAAGCAAATTAATCTCTCACAGGCTGTTATTTCGATATGTGTTCGTTGTTCAAAATATTACATATGTGATGATAATCAAGGCTGTATAATAATGAATAGTAGTATTTTTGATAGGTTTAATCTTCAGTCCGGTCCGCTTTCGCTTTTAAATTTATCGGTCATCGCTTTGAATTATTAACCCAAATTGATTAGCAATTTTATTGTTATATATTCCTTAAACTTACTGGCTAACATATCAAGCTTCAGGAATATTTGGTTTTGAAAAGCGAATTTGATCTTCGTATTGGAAATGAACCGATTCTTAAATCAAAAACTGAATTATTATGCCCTGAAACACTAGAACAATGTGTTAAAAAATTAAGACTGATTTTCAATTGCACTGAAAAAAATTGAAATTCTGAAAATTACTTTATCTATTACCCAGTTGTTTCATTTGTTATGACCATCTGCACCAAAATAGTAAAGTTTAATTTTTTTTCATTTAGTCTAAATAAATAAATAAAGCGTTGCCAAAAAAAAATGTTTAGACTTAGCTTTTTCTAGATTTTATAATAGTTACCGTTTGCACTAACCATCTGGACCATAGCTGATTCGAAGAGAAATTTGTTGCTCTGTGGAATATAATTAAATTTTTTTCCCCTCCGAAATACGTGTGGTCATTTAGTTGACCATCAAAGTAAATTTATTTTTTAGTGTCAGCTTATCATTTGAGGCTTTGAGACCTTAGAAATCGCTTTAATTATTCTGCGCTTCGTAAGAATTTTTGATAAGACAAACAATAAGATTTTTGATAATACTATTGCTTTTTATTCGTTGAAACGCTTTAAATTAAAAAATAGATATTATCTAAATTGGAAATCCTCAGAAGCCAGGTCTAATATGAATTAGTAATATTGGAAACACTACTAGAAAATGCACATTCTAATCAATACATTACTTCCAACTATTAATTTAAGTTCAAAGTATTGATACTATAATTCATTTTACCCAACAGTATTCTTCCTTTTTGCTATCGTGTTTCTGATTCATTTAGGAATTTTTCAAAGAAGTAAAATTTTAAAATGGACTGATTCGATTACAGTTAGAACCGAAATATATTTGAAGTACATTCAATGATATGGGCTCTTTTCTGTCCCAAAATATTTCTTAATTCAAGAAGAAGTTATCCGAATTTGTATTTCAAGAAGTCGAAAGTTGAAAGCAATTTTGTTTTGTTTTGTTTTGTTTTTTTTTCAAAAAGACTAAATATAATAAAAGGCATAAAGTTCACTAGGAAGAAGACAGAGACCTATCGAACACGTATATGATAACGTATGTAGAATGCCAAACTCTTGGCTTGAGGAGTTGATTGTGATCAATGATTCATTTCTCCAGTTGCATTGCTCTTGTCAAATATATTTAAATTATTACCACGTTGAAGCATATTTAATTAATCATCTCTTTAGCTAATAAGGTGAGGGCATACGGTATGAAGAGTTTGACTTTTTTTTAAAAATTATCGCATGCTTGGCTTGAATTTAAAATAACGGGAATTCTAATCTATCCACTTAATCAAGCTCATGTGCCACGTTGCTATTATTAGAAGTTTAAAAGAGTAAATTAACTTAAGCGGATGAAGTAGCTTGTGGTTACAAATGCAAAATTATCTGCAGAATCTGATTTAGAGAATATAAATGTTTAGAGGATTTATTTCATTTTTATCGAAACTTGCCAGCTGACCCCTTGTGCAAATGTCAACAAAAATAAATTACATCCACGCCGAGGAATTGAGGAGAAATTCGAAATTACTTTGCACTTCCATTTTTTCAATTACTACTCGTCTCTACTTGTCCATCAGTTTTGTTTATTATATTCATTCCCTTTTCAACGTTTTGAATTAAGTTTCTGAATTTTTCTGCGGTTTACTGTCTTTTTAAATAATGAATGGTTTGTTGAGGTAAATTCTGAATCAGCATAATCACTTAAAATTGCATTTAGATCGAAAGGTTCAAGGAAAAAATGACCTTTAGATGAGTAAATTCATGGAATTAATTAAAGTGCACGAAAATTTTCAAATTTCGACTGTTACTGAATTTCATTTCTATAGGATATATATGCTAATGCAACAGTTCAGAAATGAAAGTGTTTTTTCTCATTTGAAAATATAAAGAATAAATAAATATGTCAACATTCATTGTTGTAATAAAATAAATGTTTCCTTCTCTTGAAGTTCTCGCTATTAAAGATTTATCAGAAATTCGATTATATGAAACCGGAAAAAGACGATAAGAAAGAGAAAATGAAAATCTTCAAATTTGCGTCGTTCCTTTTCCTCACTTCTTGCCTATTCTCACTTTTTTTTAACTCTGGAAAATCTTGCGTTAAAATTGAAACGGTTTGTCGTGATACTACTACTGACATTCCAAGTTAGGTTTCCAGTACTTCTTATTAATTTGATTCAAAGTAATTTCGAGAAATGCCTATCAGTTGAGAAAAAACAGGTATCAAAAGCATCCCAAGAAATAGTATCTTATTTTTCAGATAATTCCTTCCTGAAGTTCGTCGAGTTTTTTAAATTCTGATCTAAATTTAAATTGAAAATTTAGAAATTTGTGTTGAATTTATTGTGAAAGAAGAATTGATTTCTTAACGTAAAAAAAAAAAAAAAACAGAAAAATGTGTATTAATACAATTTTCCGCACTATTTGGAATAGCTTATTATCACTTTTCGTCACCAGCACTTTGCCAGAAGTGGACGCGTTGACAAAAGAAGAGATTAAGCTGTTAGTGGACAATTGGCCCAAGTAAACTTTTTGAAATTTCAAAAAATAGGAAGAAAAAACGAACTTTAAAAATTAACCTTTTTCATCATATAAGCAAAGTTATCAAAAAAGAGTGGAGGGTGACTTTGCTTTTTTCAGATTTCAATCATAGCAATGACATATTTTAGCTCAAATAGTACTTCATATTCTTTCAAGACTTCGATTCGATCTCTTTTCATTTTCTATGAAAATTTCATTTCAGATTGAAAGAAAAAAATCCTGATTTATTCCGAAGAGCTTGGATAAAATCAGCACGAATGAGCGTCAATGTCAAAGTCTGTTTCCTCATTTTTTCTAAAATTTTAAAGATACAAAATACAAAATAGCCTAAAGAACTGCAATGGACGAATTTTGTCGGTGATGAAAAAGGTCGAAATAGTAATACTCTTTGTTCCATAAATTTCTAAATCATTCGATTTGCTTATTCGTCTATGATAAAATGCACGGATGCACTCATTTACTTTCTAGAAGGCAACTGGTTTACGAGATGATGAAGATCCGGAAACCAATGGAAGATTCGTTTCGTTATCGCCATTAATTGAAGATTTCGTCGATAAACTTATTATCGAATTTCGCTGTGATGATATTAAAGTAACCTGCTTTCAGAAGCTTTTTTGTGTGATGACATTCGAAATGTTAAATTTAGGGTAATCATTATGAGCAAAGAGCAATATTTATGCGTGGGTGTAGAAGTAACAGTTCACATACTAATAAGATGACACATTAAGCTTTTCGAAACACTTTAGCTACTTTTTCAGTATCTTTATTTTTGATTACTGGGAGAACAAACATTTTCTCTGACCATTTAGCAGGCAGGTCACACATGATAAGTTTAAATTCCGAATTTTTGTAATTGTGCAATCTATTTTTGGGTTATCCGGAAGAAAACTAATTACCAATTTGTAAATTTTCCAAAAGAGATAGGAATATTTCTCTCCGGAAATAACTAAACAAAATGTTAACAAAATCAAGGAAGTTCACTTATTTTATATAGATAATAACTAAAATTAAATTAAAAAAATTTTGCATAGATAATAGTTGAAATATATAAAAAATAATTAAAACTAAGCTGATTCCAATTATTACATTGTTTTTACTAATTCCAGTTATGTCTTTACTAATTCCACATTGTCCTTACTAATCGACAAATGTTTAGGTGGCAGAAGCTAGTCGCAAACTTGGTGCTAGGCATGTACTTCTTGAAAATTTTCATACAAATTTCTGGGATATTTTTCTGGTAAGAATTAGTGTACTTTGAACTGTTCTAAGTATTGACAAGAGAGAGAGAGAAAGAGAGAGAGAGAGAGAGAAAGGGAGAGAGGGGGAGAGAGCATTGCTATACTTCAAAAGCACCAATTTACTCATTAAATTATTCCTATTTTTTCTTTTTTTTTAACTTCATTACATAATCCTTCATTTTTATTTACTTTTTTACTTAATCATTAAAAATTCGATCATTTAGCTTTCTTTGGAAATATTACTGAAAGATTGAAGAAGAAATACATTGTGTTTTCTTTTTTACTTTCCAGGGCAATTTGATTCATATTATCATTGAAGCGCATTTGGAAGGCGAACAACGAGAAATTGCGACCATTTGTGAAAAATTTTTTTCTTTTTTTGTTAGCTTTATGCGTGATGGATATAAAATGCGAGTACAGGAAGAACTGAGCGGTCGTAGACGCATGAAAGCATAATTATTTATTGTCTAAATCTGTATCAGAAGTCAAATTTTGTTATCCAATTCATTATTCTTTTCAACTCATCTTTTTGATGTTACAAGTCAAAATCGAACCTTTTCCGGAATACCGTTCCTTGAATGATCTGAAAGGAACATTGTTGATTTAAAAAAACGGAAGAAAGCAGACCTTTACCAAACATTTTCATAATTATATCAATTGTCTTCATGTATAAGCGTTGGAAAATTTTCGCTAAATTCAGATCTAATTCATATTATTTTGTTTTTTGGAAAATATATATTTCAAAGTAGCTTTTTTTAAAAAAAAAATAATAAAAAGCCAGTTTTAAATATGGACGTTACGTTCTCGTGCAGAATCGTATAATTTAAATTCAAAGCTTAATTAAAGGCCGATAAGTATGAAAGTTTTGCTTAGGCTTAGCCCTCTTCAAATTTCTTTTCTATTTACGACATTTTGTTCTTTATTTCCATAAAGTCCCCTACATATTTTTTCCATTTAATGGGTATCCTCTCCTTTCAAGACGAATTCTCAAGACACATAGTTAAATTAAGAGCTTTTATCACGCTGAATTAAAGTGAATTGGAATTTCCCTCTTCTCTTTATGATTCTTATAATAACTTGAAATAAACAACGATCACTGTTTAAGTTAAGGGATTTAAATTTTATGTTAAACATTCATGCATTGAAGTTGTCACAAAGAATGTCCTTTCTGAAAATTTTTATCCTGATAGCGTAACTGTGATTGTGTGAACAATGTATGCCATTAATCTTTCAAAATTGATAACATGAAATATTAATTGTAGAAAATAAATCTTTTTTATTCTTTGATTTTTTAATTAATAAAGATGTAAATTATGTGAACTTTATTTGTGGTGAAAATCCGTTCAAGTTAACGTTTGATATCGATATTAATAAACAGAACACTAACAGTACCGCTGTTAGTCTTTTCCTTAATTGCATACTTTCAGGCTTTCTTCATTGAAGACTAAATAAAGCGGCGCAAAAGTTGCCTGTTAAGTTTGAAACTTTGGATTAGCCAATTCTTTTTCGATTTGTTTGCAAGTGAAAAATATGAAAAGATTTCAGAAGGAAAAAAAAAGTAAATGAGAGTGGAATGATTGAGATATACTGTGTAAAAAGCTCTGCATAGAATCCGCCAAACTAAACTTCTTCTAGCTCCGCTCATTAATTGGCCAACAAGTCCAACATAGTTTTCTTAATCATTCCGGTTTCATTTAATTTCATTTTAGCATTTCCATTCTAATCTTTAATTTGTATTTCATTTATTGCTGCGCGTTTATATTATTTTTTCATTCTTTTGTTATTACATCATTCATTTGTATTATTTTATTTATGCACAGAGACATTATTACGATATTTCAAAATGAGATGACAGATTTTGTTCAATACCGATCAGTTCCCTCCCTTCCTTACAATGGGCCATTACTCTTTCAGAAATAAAGATAGATTTGTCCCCAATTTCCATATGTTTTTGAGAGCGCTAATTTAGGAGTATGTCACACTTTTACACCTTAACTATCACTCTATGAACGATACTAACAACCATTGCTTAGTGAATAATTTTCTATGATACCTCAGTTCATTTCGCTCTGACATGATGAAGTCTTTTTGATCTTTGATAACTAAAAAACTCTGCCTTCTTTCGTAACGGAAAGTTGAGTTTGTTTAGGTCAAAAGTTAATTGGAAACATGGAAAAATGATGGGGTTAAGTGTGGAATTGATGATCATTCAATGGAAATTAAAATAATACGATAAAAAAGTAATGGATTGCTGCCATCGTTTAATCCCATGGAATAAATGTCATCAACGATACCAATAAATTATCCATTTATGACAAAATTTGTCATTGTATATACATTTGCGAACAAATATTGTTATTTTTGTGTTTCAGTATGATGAAATGGTATTGTGTGATCTTGGTGTGACCGCAGTTTCATCGCACAACACGACAAAAAGTAGAAAGGTCTTTTGCTAATCTCAATATGACATTTTACAGTAGTTTTAAAAGTTCAAATTATAGTTTCTCGCTGAAAATGTACATTTTTTGAGATTAAAGAATATCCGAAATCAAACAGTTTGGAATTTGAGGTCTCTGTTATTCTAATGCTTAGAAAGAAATATTGTAATGACAACAGTCGAATTGTTGTCAACTTTGCTTCATACACAAAAAGTGCTGCATACTGCATAAAAATGAAAAGAACAACAATTAGTAATGTCCTTATTATGAGATTTTATCATGATTTGAAGTTTAAAAAATGTCCAGTTACGAATTAAGGAAGGATAGAAAACTAATTACTTTTTAGGCTCAACTTTTTCAATTAAATAACAATAAAAGATAATTCACATTATTTTAAACATTTGCGAGAAAAATTTTTAGAAACGTAAAGAAGATGTCTTTGGCAGTAAAGGCACAACCATAAAAGAGAAATTAGGCACTTTGGATAATCACAGATGACAACGGCACAATGAACACTAAAAAGAAACAGTTACATAATGAGTACCCGCAATTAATATCACATTAAACACGCAGCAGGTTAGGTGTTAATCATAGAACTCACACATTCCCTTGACATGAAATGTATTCTAATTATACTCGAGGCTTCTTCCTGATCTGCGATCATTGCCGGAGAATGAAATATGGATGATCACTCTAAATATAAGCCTAGAGCGAGAAAGCCGAGTGTTTTCGAACCTATTTTCAAAAATATGAATTTCAGTAAATGTTCAGAGAGTAGATGGAAGACAAAATTTTTCAATCCCATTATTTTAGAACTTTAAAATATTGTTTTTTCTATGCTAAAATTTGATGCTGAATTGCATTACACCTCAATGATGTTGCGCGTTCTTTGATTTACACCTTGGTGAACTAAAGCTGCAACATGATGAACCCGATGGAAAGCAGAAGGCACATCTACAACATGGTATTAAGCACCTGGTCAGTAGGAAATAAATAATGAGCAATAAAATTATATAAACAATAACATCGGTAATCATCATAACGAAATTTGAAATGGACGAAATACCGTTAGCCCAGTTCACAGGATTGAAATTGCTTAAAAAACCTCCCAGAGTTAATTTATTGCATTCTGGACAATGACCATCAATTTCCTTCCAAGTGTTTTCCAGCAAATTAATCTGCAATTAGTTATCATTTAGCAGTGCACTCCTTCGTATGCTAAATAATTGCATTTGTAAATAATGACTTCTTCCATGAGTATCACAGCATTATTGTGATAAACTTGTAACTATCAATAACTATCAGCGTATCACTATCAACGATTATGAGCAAAGTATAAACGAGATAATCAGAATTGGAACTACCTCGAGAGCAACTTCTTTGAATACAATTATTCTACAGATTTCTTCTTGTCCACTGGAACCATCACTATCAGCATGAAGACAAATCATGCGGTCCCCACCATCAATCAGTGCGGGCAAGGGTACAATAAGAGTTTTGTTGGTACCTCGTATATCACCGATATAGGTTGTGAAGCTAAAATCAATACATAAATATCAATTTCTAAGCGAAATTTTCCTACTATACCATTTCTTATCGTTTTCCGATTAAGTAATTTGAAAACTTTGTCCCATTCTTTCTGTGCAAGCAACCTTCATTCTTATTGCATAAAAAATTTTCTGTCATATTTATTCTGAAATATTACACAAAAAACTTACTGAAATTCATCAGAGCTGCTTTTATCTGTTGTCTTCTTTACGGTACCATGTATAATACCGGTAGCATTGTAAACAGTCAGATTAAAGAAACGGTTTGATTTGAAATCCACAATTACAGTACCCGAAAAATCGTCCATTTTAGAAAAATCATGCACGAACGACAAACTGTATGCGTCTTCATGAAGCTAGAATTTGAGTTTTTACTTCTAATTACAACAATTTGAATTTAAAGATCATCTTTGGATGACGAAAAGTTTTACGAGATTGAAGAATCGAGATACCTGTAGAGCAACTCCTACATTGGTACTCTCAGAATGTGTCACCATAACATGACGTCCAGATCCTTCAGAAATTCTAGCACTTCCTATCCATGGATAGATTCGTTCCACAGCTGCTCCCAGCGCAAAACGTTCCGGATTCTGCAATGCATATTCAGCCGATAAGTAATAGTGATGTGCCTATTGCTTTATGCTGTATTTATAATCAGTTACGATAGCGAATAAATTCAGGTGGACTTTTTAGATCCACAACTCATTTCCATCGAATTTCAATAAATCTAATCTAAGGCTCAATCAATTAAAGTTCCTTGCTAAATTCAGTTGATAATTTAAATTTCAAATAAACGTGCTTTTAAAATTAATGAAATTCAACATCCATCCTAATTTGAAGTAAGAAATGGCAAACCTGAGGATCATTGTAATCCACATAATGATGAGCATCGAGGAAACTCTGCGATTTTTGGTCTTTGCAATTTTCAACCTTTGCCAAATGCATCCTTTGTATTTTAACCTTCCCATTTCGTACTGTGAAATGTCCCAATGCATCTTTACGAAACCATCCCAGTTTTTCGAAACTAAAAATTAATTTATAAAGAAAAAAAAATTCAAGTTGTCATAGCTATAGAAAGGTAGAAAGGTTACTTGTCATTACATAAAACGCACTTGTTTTCATTGATTTCATTAATAATTTGTTGTCGTAATTCACCCATTTCACCATTAGGATTAATTGCTGTAAAATACATTCCAGTTTCCAGCTGATGACTAGCTCGACCTCCTGCACTTACTCCTAATTCCAGCCTTCGCCATCTAAATTATGATTGGTAAAAATCTGAAATTTAACAGTAAAAGGACATTCGACCTTCCCAAAGTCTCAGAGGTAAATCCGAAAATGAATGATTTTACTGATGGATGACTGTCAAGAAGTAAGTTATTGTGGAATAAAAAATACTTTCAGAAATTACCTGTCCAAAAACAGCCATTGTGTCTGACCATCAACTTCAACTCGAATCGTATTCTTATCCTTTTCAATCCATCGGCCAGCTGTATAATCATATGCAACATATTTGAAGGTGACAAATGTCGTTGGTTGCTCTAACTTCATTGCCACGTATGATTTGTTTTGGTACGGTGTGAAACTTACCTTAAAAATAAATTAATTGCCAAATTGGATAACATTTGTCCTCGAATCTTTCCCCATCTTTAAATATCAGTTGATGTTATCTGTCCAAATAAGTAAACTTTTCAGTAATTGGAACTTATAAATAATGTATAAATATTTTAAATTCATCTTCAATCAATTAGAGAAAAAAAATTCTATCTTCAATAGTTACTTCTAAAATGTATGATCCCAGTGGGAGTTAATTTTACCTCGCAGCATAACTTGGACTGACTGCCAGGTAAACATCCAGTATCCGCTTGATTTGGATGAAACGTTCGAAAACAATTTTCTTGTAATGACTGCAAATACTTTTAAATTCGTGAATTAGTGGTAATATTAATGATAAGAATAAATTGTTCTGTCATAAATCTGTAACAAACAATCACCCTGCTTATATATATATATAGGTTATCTCGAATAAAATTTAAAGGTCTTATGTAAAATTCATTGGCTAATAGGAAATGCACGATAACATTGAAATAATTTTATTCTGTTCAGCAAACCTTATCTATCAGTCTATTCGATTCATCCGTAGACATTTACTTGTTTTCATTTGTGAGCAAACTTTACTAAATATTTGCTTTTTATCTCTAATATAGTACATCTGTAACTACTCATAGTATAATGAACTTTGACGTTTGGCTGTATTGTCACGTTTGCTTTTAATTTTAATACATTGATAGCCTCATGTATTCCGTAATTGGGTCAGTTCATAATTGAATACTGTCGAACCAATTCAATTATTCCATGTTATCCTTTTGTTCAAAAAGCTATTTGCTTACTTTGGCTAAGCCAAAAGACCTTCAGATTACGCCGAACTTCTTAATCTTCCTTCAGGAATGAGCTATCTGTCCTACCTTAATGAGCTAAATTTAGACAGATATTGGATAATCAATTTAATTACTTTGTAAGTGTGTAAGCTTTGGAGCAAAGAATTTTCTCAGCTTTAAATGTTATCTTGAAATTTCAACCGTGCATTTCTTACTTTCTCATTCTTCATTCAATCGTAGTCAATAAAATTTCCCGTTCTTGTCCTACTTTTATAATTAAATTAACTTCAGAGTAGAAAAAAAACTAGAAACGAGATATAACTTTGAACTAACTTGTGTAGTATTACTGTAGGCGCAATGGGTAAAAGAATATGTTCTGGCGGAGCAAATATCTGAATTAGCGTCACACTCACAAATACAAGATGTTCTTACTTCTGGGATTGCAAATTCGTACTGCTGAGAAATTGGATGATGGTGCTCTAGTTGTGATAATGTCAACGTATGTAACCATCCTTGGTCTTGACTTCTGATATCATTAATTAACTTATTTGGAATAAGAACAGAAGAAAATAATACTTATTATCAATAATTACTTATTTGTTACTCTTTTAAGCTTACTTTAGTTTTCCAATGGCTGTTTCTGTACTTCATTCTTTAATTCTACATCACTTTGGTTTCACTTTGAATTAAAGAAAAAAAGGAAAGAAAACGGCGGTACAGAAAAAGCATCTGAAGTTATTTTAGATTAATATTTGCAATTTATTCAGCTAAAATGGAATACCTTGCACTGAGGACATCAATGAATAATGAATCCCTCTCATTGGTGTTATTTTCTAATCGGAAACAAGCGGTATTTTGAAGACCAATGCGAATATTGATTTGTATAGTGCGGATGAGATTATCACCGGATGCTGCAATTTGTCCATTCTATTAAATTGGAAGTAAACAAATTTTTTAGAACTGCAGAAAAAAAGCCAATAGAAATGAGTAATGGAAGAATTTACAATGCATATTATTCAATCATTCGTTTCTGTCATTTGATCCTTAATTATTATTTTTGATAATCCCAATTATAATTGTCAATTTTACTTTCAGAATTAATTTGAAAATTTTCAATGACTCGTCATAATATAAATTAGCGTTTTTATGGAAATTTTTTTGAACTAACAAAAGTGTCATCTATCGTTACAACAAACTTTTTTTTAAAAAAAAAGTCCTTTTGATTCAGTCGTCGAGCGATGCTGATTTTCTTACTAATTATTCTTGTTTATTGTTCACAGACAGTAATAATTTGAAATGTTCGCATGAATCAAAGGTTTGATCTTTTAAGAAAAACTTGAAGTTTACTGTTTTCTTTTCTTACTTTAATATTTAAAGTTTTATGCCAGCTATGAGAGCAATTTGTATGTCAAAACTGAAAAGTTTTGTTTAAGAATTAATTTGAGAGAGAAAATTGGAAAAGTTCGAGAAACTTATTCCGTTATTCTAAAAAAGTAACATACATTTGAAACAAATAAAAAGCTTTTTGTCCTTTAAAGAGTATTTTTTTGGAAGAATAATGAGCTAATTAATGTTTACTTCAATTAAGTGAACATTTCTTAAATTTTACATTTATAATCTTAAAAACGCTTGCAGTGTGTTGAAACTAACCATGAGAAAGCACTGATTTGATGACAGCAGTTTTTGTGCAATGTGGTGGTACTATAAGGGATAAAGGTTGTAATATCTCGGGAGCTAATGGTGGTGGCGATCCGAAAATCCATGGAATCAAACGCGTCGCCAAGATACACCTTAATAGGCATGCCAACCTCATCCTTTCGGCCTTTGCAACCCTTTAGAATTTCTTTCAATCTGACTATTTGTCGACTGCGTCTTGAATGTTCACTGAAATTTTGGTAATATGTTAGAAACAAAGTCATTACTTCTTTTAAAATGAGACATAGAAACTGAGAAGGTATCACAGAAATACAAAAACTATCGATTTCTGAGTGGAATGAAAGGTAAATTGGAAAGGCATTCGAAAAAAAATTTTGCAAGAAATTAGTAATGCAATCGTATTGGCGAGGACTCGATGAAAATGAAACCAAAACAAATTTCCAAATAACTTGCTATCATTTCAATTCTTCCATTTTCAAAGATCTTAATTTTCCCCAACGTGGTGTTCGATACGAATATAATTACATATCATATGGACATGCCGATGAAAATTTACATCAATTTTCACACGGTTTGATTAAATTCTTCTGACCACCACTAATGATTAACAGTATCACTGCTATTCCAGAAAATTCCGGGTTCGAGCACTTCTTCTAAACAGAACAACTGATCTATGTTCTCGGGATTTACTTCGAAACAGCCATCGCGGTGAACTTCGAAATCACAAATACCTTATATTTCCTTAAAGCTGTTAACGGTGAATTTTTACCAGTCAATGAGGCCTTGAATGAAAAATAAAGTAGAAAGTTCGAGAGAGAAAAGTAGAAAGAACAATTGATAAGGGAAGAGGAGAGAGAGCAGATAAATAAAAATTAATTTATCTCTCCTATCAGCAGAAAAATTTGAAAATTTTTCAATTAATTTTCGAGAAATTTTTCATTTGCAATAAAATATGATGTGAGAGTGTCATTTAAATTTAATAAAATTACTTCATTTACTTAAATGTTCAAAACAATAACCTTATTGCTTTTTAAGTTTTTACAAAATTATTTGCCCAACTCTTTTTCAAAATGCTTTCATGAAAACCGCTCTAAAAATTATGGTATTAAATCAAAAAAAAAACAGTAAAAATAAAAATATATGTATAATCCGTGTTCTAATTTTCTAAATGATTACTAAATCAAATTTAACAGAAAATATGAATTTTATAGATCTCTTCAAATGCTAGGAAACTGAAGAAGGAAAGGAAAGGTAAAAGATAAGAAGTAATGAACAGATAGCATTCTGGACCTGAACGAAGAGTAGTGTGAAGGAAGAATTGATGAAAGAAGCGAGCCCTGCAAAGCAAATTGAGAGAAAACGGGTCGTTCGTCAAAGTCTGTCACATACGAAGAAGTTGTAATAGTATCGACGATTCTCAGGCATTAAATTTTGCAAATTAACGCAATATTAATTAGATTAACACGATTTTCGTCATTCATCATGGTTCCGCATAATTGATAATTTCACACCCCCACAGAATTTAGGATAATGAACTTATCAGTCAATGATCTTCAAATATGCGAGCCCATCTTTTAGAGAGTCTCATTTACTTTTATCTTACCGAACCTTCCAATTTCCCTCAAACAATTTCATAGTTATGAAAAATTTTGCAACATGTAAAATAGATTTTTTTCATTTGCAAATTTTAGATGCAATATCATAAATTTTACATGCTAGAGATTCTCCAAATTTTTGTCTAACATTCTTCAGCCTCTCTGTAAATTAGAGAACTATTGATCTCTTAATTAATTTTCTTATGGAAGATAACAGAGTCGAATGTTTAACTCATTCAGAGCCTCAAAACTTACTAATTTTTGAAACAATAATCACTCAAAGCCGTGTGCATTTTATATTTGGTATGCATTAATGAAAGGAGTCAAACAGGTCGCTAGGCTAAACTCTAAGAGTTTTTAAAATCTTGGATCCTTGGATTGCATCCCTTCACTCCATACTGTTTGTGAAATAAGTTATTGATGGCATCGTTGCAGACAGTATGGCATGTGTCATTGCTAACTATTGAGTTAATAAGAGATTTTTTTGGAATGATGGTTGACACGTGTCAAGTTCAAATGATTGAATACTCCGTTATCCTTGCCAATTCAACCTCTATTCTTCGCCGAACATAAACATACCACAGCGAAAAGTTGTGTGTCAACCATACTACTCCATATCAGTATTTTTGTTATATTTCATCAATTGTCATGCAATTTATACAGATTCACACAATGATTGGCAGTAATGGACATTATACTATCCATTGGTTTTATTCTACTCTATTGCTTTCATTTGTTATCTTTAATCACTGATATAAAACCAATAGTTATACTTCAACACATTTTAGTTCTTGACAAGTTTATAGATTTAATCATGTAATATTTGAGGCAGCATATATCACTATGACAAGAACATTTAATTCATGCTCTTAAGAAATTCTACCACAATGTGACATTATGTGGTGATATTACATAATTTTGAATTGAGTGGTGAATTGTGGGAATCAATATGATCCAATCACTTGAAAATCACTATTTTCTTAGATTATAAACTCAGTCGCTGATAAGTTCCATGATGATTGCCATCAAAATGCATCATTTTTTCTCCTGCTGATGGCTCTTCAATGACAATTCCATCTAGTGCTTTAAATCAATAATGAAGTTTCCAAATAAGTGGAAAAAATTAGAATTTACTTACAAGAATTAATTAGAGATTAGACAGTAAGTTCACACTTACATTTTACATCTAAGACTGTATAATATCAGCTTTAAAATTTAACTAAATGTTTATGTGTTGTATACAAACAAGTCATAAATGTCCATAAAAGTCAATAAAAGGGCGTTGAGCAATAAGACAACCTGCAGTTTCATAATCAACAGAAGGTCTTGTTTACTTTTCAATTAGCCTTTTCAGACTTTGCGCTCTTTTCTATCAACCATAATTGAGAACTTTATTGCAGGTTGCATAAATTTCATTCGTACTGTTACAAGAATTTAAGGTAGTTTACAAGGAAGAATAGGTTTTATGATGGAAAAATAGTTTTAAAATACTTTTATTATGTAAATTCGGAGCTAAATTAATGATAAAGCTTTTCATACGTCACAAATTTTATCCTAATTTGATATAAAGAGCAGCAAAAAATTGAATTGACCAAGTGATTAATTAATAACTGTTGCACATTTTGAGTTCAAAAAGAAATGCAGTATTTGGTGAGCTTTTCAAGTTTTCTTCTTTCCATAGTTATAATTTAAAAAAATGTTTTACGCAAACAACGAAAAAGCTTTTCTGAGACTAAAGTGAAATTTCATTTCAGAAAAACTTTAATGTCCTAAGACAAGAACATCAAAGTTTTGAAATTGAATTGCATTTCAATCATTACTGTCCAATTTTATGGAAAGCCAATGCGCAAAAGGTGAATGATACTTTGTAAAAATTTATAGGAATTGAGCTTACTTGACAAGTTGTCAAGTGCAGGATCATTTTATGGTCATCCCGTAACGACAATCAATTATTACTGCAAATTAAATAGGATAATCATAAATCCAGATGAACGTCATATATTTCAAATTCACATGTGCACTCCCGCACACATATGGAATGACTAATCATTGTCGGGAGAGGAAGGTGCCACATGTCACAGAGCTCAAAAGAATTCCATGAATTGGATGAGAATGTAAAATAACTCGGTGAAATGATAGTTTAAAATTGAATTACTTGTGAAAATTAGCTAATTGCAAGAAATGCAGTGTATAGAAGCAGCGAAAGATATCTGGGAGTTATTCCCCGACTGCATTGGGACTACGCCGGAAGACCTTGATGAATTTTCATTTTGCATAAACTTAGTTTTATATCTGTGATTAAAGCCTAATGAAAATTATATTTCAATCCAGCATAATTTGTCATAAAAGTGTTTTTGAAAAACTGAAATAGGAATAGTAATTTCTAGAACAGGGTGACATTATTGATGACGGAAGAAAAGCAATAACAGCAAGAGAATGATAATTAGTATAACCATTACGTAACAAGTGCTTGAGAGAAGTGCCAGGACCGGAAGACTTTTTTCTAGTTTTCTACTTCATTAGCAAAGACATCATAGCAACAATCATCAAATATAGGCTCCGAATTTGAAATTGGTCACCAATGAGCCGCGGAGAGGAAATATCGATCAACTCGTTTTTCTGCAAGTTAAACTGTTCATGTAATTAATAAGCTGAGATGTGTCACAATTTGACGTGGTTGTGCATGCAGAACCAGCTCTTGTTACAGATTTAATTTTCGATCATTAATTCTTTTTTATGCTATGCTAATTGCTCATTTCCTAGGATAAGTAGAGCAAAACAGAAATTACGGATTTACGATTTCCAGAATGAAGTCACAGATTATCAGAAGATACAACAAAGTAATATTCTAAGTCTCGTGGAATTACAGTAGTAAAACTGTTGTTAAGTGCGTGAAAATAAGAAGTGGCCAATTTAAGGAGGTGAGCGGAGAATAATCATAAAATTATCCTCGAAGTCTGAAGGTTAGTTGGTGATTTGGAGACTGTAGTCGTAATCTTAGAAGGCAATCGCCGAAAGCGGTCTAATTCGTTATCTAATGCCGGCCGCAATAACAAAAGGTTTTTAACTTTCAAATTAAAGAAAGTGGAAGGGAGGAGGTGTCAATTGCAATAAATTCCATACACTACATATACACAAACACATGTACACACACTTATACATAAGTTTGCATATCGACAAATCCATAAATTCACATCTAGCAAAAGCAAAAAGCCAGAAAGAGGTCATAAGTTCGTTCGTTAGCCGAGCTTGTCAACTCCTCTCAAATAAATCCTTCATTTTAATGACGTATAGATAATTTCCGTAACAGTTCTAGACTTAAGATCAGAAACGAGTCTTGAAATTGTACGTTTTCGCTTCCATCAAGGAACTTAGAAGTATTCTGTGTACTTCACTATCATCTAACAATATTCAGGATTCTTTTATATATCAAAAATTGGAGCAATTTGCTCTAATGAATATATTACTTCTTGTTTGTCTTATTCTACTTGTTATCAGTACTGCCACGCTTCAAACGAATGAATTGAAGGATTGGAAAATAACAAACAACACATCTTCCATTACTTTCTCCTTCACTACATTATCATTATCGTATCACTTCTATCAAAGCATTTCAGCAATGAAGTAAAAGTGTAGTTCAATTATACCAATTGCGTCTAATTTTAATTTTGCAACGACTAACAGTCAAAAGTGTGCTTGTGGGAATTTGATTGCTATCATTGCCAGTTTAAATGAATGATGACTATTAACCTCCAAATTTCCATATTTCGCATTATGATAACGATCTCCGACTGAGATTCCTCCGAACAAAAACCCTCAATGAATTACCGAAACTTGATGACTTACTGCATACTTCAAATGAGTTTAATAAATTTATAGTCGACTTAATGTGTCTTCATACAATAGTTATAATAAATGAGAAGTGAATGCATCAAAGATTCTTCGGAATAAGCAAAGTAAAGGAACCTTAACATCTTTGAAATAAAGCTAATTTCATTGTAATCTGAACCGAATTCTGAACCAAATGTTGAGTTGGATCTTCACATACGTTGTATTTCCATGAAGTCAAAAATTAGCTTTATCCAAATACCGAGATCCCTCTGATATAATACTGCATCTCTCTGATATGATATTGCGTCTCTTTGATATGATATTGCGTCTCTCTGATATGATACTGCGTCTCTTTGATATGATATTGCGTCTCTCTGATATGATATTGGGTCTGTCTGATATGATACTGCGTCTCTCTGATATGATAATGCATTTAAGTTGGAAATTTTTTTCGGTTAAAATAACATTTTGTGTTAAGAAAAGATAAAAAAGGAAAAAAAGCCAAGAAATGACAGATGAAACGATGAACAGAGACCAAAGAAGGAGGAACTGTACAATATGAAATGAGTTTCCATTCCAGTATTATCCAAAATGGATAAATTCGGGTTGCTGATGTTGGGCGCTTGAGTCAACAATATGGCTCTTTCCATTAGATTAACCATGCATATCCACCGTTTGTTCTGTTCTGTGCTCTGTTTACAGACTTCAGAAAATAAACGCTTCATTCCACGTGTCACATTTTCCTTCATTACGAAAATTTTCATTTTAGTTTCCCAAAAATCATTTATTGAATACAAATCAGTAAACTATTCCTTCAGTTATAAAAAGGATATCTTCATCAACCATTTATCTCTTAATTTTAATCTCAAAATCTCCAGAAATCCGGGACTGATGTTATTTAAAAATATGCAGGACTAAAACAAAATATTTGAAATATCATACTATGTACTATGCCACCTGTGTATTTTATCTGAGAATTGAATAATAATCCGACATCATATTTAGAAAAAATGAATAATAGATGTCATTATACATATAAAGTGTAATTAATACGTCATCATTCTTCTTCTTTATCATTATTATTTATTATTATTATTGTTACTATCATTATCATTATTATTATTTTGCTACTGTTGCAACTGATACAACCTGTAGCTTAATTTTTATGGTGACAGATATTTCGTAGTGTGGCGCTTAAAATGAATTTTGTAAACTATGAATTTTTACGAGCTCTATTTTGCCTGCAAAACCGGTATGATCATAAAAGATGTAATACTTTTCCAAAAAATGAATCAGTAGCTGGTTTTATCCATTTTAAATTTTCAAATACAGTATTCTTAATGCATATTTGTGGTAATGAATTGTTCAACTTGATTCATGGCAATTTTTGTCACAAAGCGCATTATTCCGAAATATCGTTTACTCTTTTCATGAAATTTTTAAATCAGAATTTCATCTCTTACTGTCCGATTCCCTTTCTGCAAAAGTTCAAATATTTTAAATCAGTTTTTCAAATATTATAAATTATGCTATTTACCAATGAAGTAGATATTTTTTTCAAAATACGGCAAAATATGACCTTAGCTGTAAATTTGAAAACTTTACGATGCATTTCCAAAAACTACCGTATTACCAAATGTCAAAAGGTGTGTTGATGGCCTGCGACGCATAATAATATGCATGTTTGTATATCGTCGTTTCCACTTTCCTTTTCATCTTGCGTATTACTGGCAAATATTCCTATGAATAATGAATTTGCCGACAACTGCAATGTTACCAAAATACCGTAGTCATTCGGGGATGTTTTAGGATAAAAGATGTTTTGTTGTCCCCAAAGCATGGTTAGTTGGGATTGATGAAAACGTGTTTGAATTTAAAAATAATAAATGGAAAGTATTCTTAGTTTAAAAATTGAAGGAAACAAAGGTTTTTAACAGTAACAGACAAAAAATGATAATTATTGAAGTAAGAAATGACCTTTCGACCATCCCCACTTTTCTTTTCATATACATACCTAAACAGTTCTCGAGGAAACTTCAGTATAATTGCATGAAAGAACTGCTTTTCTCGTCCACTTTGAATGAAATATGGAAAGAATTTATCAAATTTTAGGGTTTATTATATTGCGAATTTTCCAAAGAATTTCGCTGAAAATGTTTGATTTTAAATTCATGTATGTGTTGAGTTGTACATCAACATCCTCTCACATTTATTTGTTTGATCTATTTTAAAATTGTTCGACATTTATTTATTCGTTTTGTCTTTTAATATTTTTTATTCGTGCCGGCAGAAAAAAATACAATAAAATAATGATAAGTGTGACCATATCAGTAAACTACAGTGTCCACGAATGACTGCTGGAGAATTCAGTAATTAAATTGTATAAAATATTGAATTCTGCATTTGAATACATTCTTTACAATATGTTTAGCAAGATTATGCATACGAAGCGTTGTATAACCGTGTCTAATGGACCGTTTAAACTCCTGCATGATGCTCTCATTTTTTAGTGATGAAATGATATCTAAGTGACTTTTGAAGTTGCAAAGAGCATGATAAGAAACGATAATTACAAATGTATGCAAAGATTATTGTCTGAGCTTATGGCACTTATAACTTTTTTTACTCCAAAATCGCAAGTGTCTTTTGTTGCCAAAATAATCGAATAAATAGGTAGTGAAGAGCAAAGAGCAAAAAAAAAAAACTAGAGCTCATTCTTATCTGAAATAGAGTTAAGAATTCATTCGACAAAAAATCTCGAACTTACATGTGATTTAACCATCACTGACTGCGTGCAAAATTTGCCAGTATAAAATTTCAATTGAAAAAAAAAAACAGAGACCTGAAATTCAGTATGCAATAGAAATGGTAACCTTCAAAAATCCCCTGGGGCTATTAAAAAAAATGGATTTGACAAATTCAATTTTGAAGGTGCTGATTTATTGCTCTCCAGCAACAGTATATATGACCTTTTTTAGATAGCGACATGACAATAAAATCAAAAATACTCTCCGGTTATGCAGTTATTAAAAAGGGCCACTTGCCGAGATAAACTTTGCTTCATCAGGGATACTGCTTTAAAGGATAAACAGAGAATGAGATAAATTTTACTTACAGCAAAGGCAACATCAAATGTCTTAAACTTGGATCTATCTCTCACTCCTTAAGTGATCTTTTAGTAAAGGAAGACTCTCGATAAAGATCAAGGAAGGAATTGTGCAGCATTATTATCAAATCGGCACGTCCCTCTTATAAATCATATATTATTCGTGAAGTAGTTTATCTGTGTCATTCATTTTCACTTATAATTGACTAAGTCTTGAAGATCTTGTCTTATTTGTTAGGATCGCGCACTTTCCTTTTCTAGAACACTCTTTTAGCTAAAGTTTTAGGGTTAAATAAAGAAAACCGTTTTATTAGTGAGCAAGTTCATTTCAACCCATCCCAATTTGCTTATAAGTTCTTTTCCTCAACAATATTCCCTGATCAGATGACTTCTGAGAAGTGTCTCACTTTTAAGGAAAATATCTCAAAAAAGCCTTAAGTTAGGAGAGTAAAAAAATAGCCGGAAATAAAATAGGAGTAAACCTCACTTCATCAATCTTCATGCTTAGAGGTCAATTAATGCATGAAGAACAATTTTCATGCTAGTATCTCCCTCAGGTTGTGCTGTCACAAAAATTCACCTGCAGTTATTCCTCCCTCTTTCATCTCAAATGTTCTGAATGAAACATTATTTAGAACAGCATAGGAGTTCCTGAACGAAAAAAATGGTATATTAGGAAAGACGATGGGAAAACGAAAGTTCTTCGATATTACTCACATTAAAATTTCAATCAGACACATGACCTGCTTCTTGTAATGGATTCTGTGAAATTCGGATTAAAGTTCTACAATTCTCTTAGGATTCCACTTAGAATGCCACTGCACTCCAGTGACCTTATCAATCACTACTATGATGGTGATCGACTTTAATCAGGTCAAGTGAGTTATCAATCAACATCCTAACTCAGCAACCTCTACTTCACAGATTTGCTGATGGCAGATAATAAATCATTCAGTGACAAACTCATTTCAAGCCATTAAAAAGAATTAACTCACAAAGCAGATAGGACAGGAATACATAAATGTAAACCAGCAATGCATGCAATGGTACACCTGATGTACTCCAACTTTCAGCAGCTTGTCCTTTTTATCGCCTAAAATTTCACTTGAACAAAAATTCTACGGATAAAGAGACAGAGCAAGAAATTGAAAGCAAAATCGATGTTACTAACAATAGAACTGTGTCTTCACGTTAGAACCTTTAACTATCACTTCTCAGCTCAATTAATAGAACTAATGTCGTCTCATTATTTAAGATATGGTCCGTCAGTAAATGAAATCAGACAGAGCCTTCGATAACTGGCTTGTTACACCAAATGCAAAACTGTTCCGTTGAATTAAAGTGATGCTTGGACGCCAATTTATTTTGTTAATTTTTCTCGATGTTCAGATAGATCGAAAAATCTCTAAACTTGAAATTGATGCCATTTGTAGGAGCTGATGTCCTTCTGGATACGCGTAGTTTTGACAATGAAAGGTAATATTTTATTTCAAATGAATGATAAAAAATCAAAACAAGTCACTGAATGGAAGCTGAATTAGTAAGAAAAATAGTAGAATGGAATGGATGGATAGATGGAAAAATATAAAACTGTTGTGTTGTATGATATTCTTTTATAATGGTCTGATTTTTCCGAAAACAACTTAAGTTTGAATGGAATCAAACAATGGCATTATGATCTCTAAGTATCGGACGATTTTTCCATACAACTTTGAGTGATTAGTTAAATGATATACAAATTACTTGTCATTATATTGTCATAACCGACGATATCAATTTAAACATTGCGGAAGATAATGAAACCATAAACAGCAACGAAACTATCTTCTGAGCTCCAAACTGGATAAAACTATATCTGAAATGAACAATGATTATGGTAAATGATGTACAGCGAAAGTGAGTGCACAGAACAATCTCCCGTGCCTATGATGAACAACTGCTATAGTTAGTGGATAACTCAGCATTTGTTAACCAAGAAAAGACATATTTCTGATAAAAAAATGCATCGATCGATTTCTGAATTATCGTCAGGCCAGTGTGTGATTTCGCAGATCTCTACGAAATGAAAGTTTGTTGAAACTGATGGATTTTCACAAAATTTTGAAAATGATAACAACCCACCTTTTACTTGCTTACCTTGCTAATCACACTTTCTGGCACTTCATGAAGATCGATAAAAGCGTTTGCTATCACTATCTTTTTTGTTTCTTTTATCTTTAATAGTATATATTTAATAGTGTACTTTGATAATATATTCTACTGTTGTCACCAAAAATTAAAAAGAATCTTACCTAAGAAATCAAACCCATACTAAATAAAATTATAGAAATTTTACTTCTACGACTTGATTTAATCAATCAGTGAATTATCGAAAAAGTTTTCTAATAATGAAGAATATTCGACAGCAAGGACAGTGGAGATGCATAATTTAGTACCTTTGCTTGAAAATGTATTCTTGGTCCTTCTTTCCACATTTCCGTTCGAAGTGTTTGTCCCGGTGTTACAGGACTAGCAAAACGGACCTGAAATATCAAAAATAACTTTGAAAGTTCAAAATAATCATTAAAGAAGATTTGCTTACAGTGAGATTTAAAGAAAATACTAAGGAATAGTTTCGATTGTTAGAAGACGAGTGGAAATATTTATGGAAAAAAAGAATGAAGAACCTTGACACTTTTGAAATATTCGTCACTGCCACCAGCAAATGTTTTTAGGACATGCCTTGTACAGAAACCGAGAGTACAAAGGCCATGTAAAATGGGCTTCTGAAAACCTAACAAAGCAGAAAACTGTGGATCGATGTGCAGTGGATTTGGATCATAACCAACTAGTCGATAAAACGCCGCCTAAAACAACAGGTATTTCAGTCATATTTACGGCAAAACGGAGAACAAAAATATTTATTCAATTTATCATTCGAGAGTTTGGAAGAAAAATCCCAAAAAATCATCAAAATAGTGCTTGAAAGAATATGCTACAGAAAGGGTAGCATACCAATTCCTGCTAACAAGGATTATGAAGTATAACCACGGCAGAGTAAACGGCAATACCGCTAACTGCCATAGCCATAATAAGAATGGAAGTTGGAATAACAATAAACAACTTATCTAACTACAAGGAAATAAAAAGATATACTTTGTAAACTGCAAAAAGATATACTTTGCTGGTACGATCATATATTAAATTATATTCAGAACTAGTTCTATTTTAAAAAAGACTTTCATAGAGTCTCAAGGAGAAGTTTTATTTCAAATTCAAGATATTTTAGACTGGAAAATTAGGAGAAAAAATCAAACGACCTGAGATACATCAACTGCTTGCTCGGTAACATAGTCAGGAACACGCTGCGGTATCGGTTGGCACGGTATTTCGTATTCTGACGTTTTTGAACCACCAAATCCACCGGACCCAAGTTGGAACAGGCTGATTTGTTGTTTCGCAACTTTAGTCTTTGTCAGTTCATCATAAGTTATCACTGCAAAACTGGTTGAAGCAACTCACTATAATTTCAAGAATTCAAATTTTCAGGGATTTCAAAGACGTATTTTTAGGTTAGTTTCATAAAAATAAATGATAATAAGTCAAAAATATAGCTGCTGTATTTTGAAATTGTGGAAAAATCCATAATTTAGAAAACTTACTGGTTTTATTTCGTAACATACATACTAAAAAAAGTCACCTTCTACGAGAATTACTGCTCCTTTGCCTTTATCAAGCACTGCCGGAATGCTTACAACAGATCGTAGTTCACCTTCCGTTGGCACTCGAGTAAATAGCTCCAAGTACTGCTCTCCGTGCAGTATCTTTGTTAAGTCGAAAGGTATGCCTTAATCAACTATTTTCAAGATGCGGCTTATGAATTTTTCAGTATAAAATAAATACCCAATTTTTATCAAAACCCCGACGATTCTGAAGTTTTATCAGCAAAATGAATTTCCATGAATTAAAGAAAGCAATGAAAGGAAAAAAATGGAAATCAATTCACCTGGCCATTCTCCGATTTCGGTAATGGTGGCTTGCAATGCTGGGCCAATAATAAATGTAGGCAATGCTGCAAATTCATTGTGATTTTCGAACAAGTATTGTAATTGGTCTTCCACACTTGCACCAACTGCAAATGCGATGACGAGTTTGAGTAAGCGTTAACCAAAGAGTAAATAAAACTATGAGTGGCCTACCAGTAAGTTCATCTATGGATTACCGTCCCAAACCATGGAGAATTGAATACGAAATGGCACTCAGCAGACTATAAATATATTACTCATATATGCAACTTATTCATTCGTTAGGACAAAGAAGAAATAATTCTGTGGTAGGAGGTGGCATGTCTATGATATGATAACTTTAAGGAGGGAAATATTAATTGCTTTGCGACGTGTATAAATCAATAAATGATCAACCTGCTAGAGCATATAAAATAGTATCACGAGAAGTGTATCGAAATAAGTCCGACTGGATCGGTCCGTGAACTCGAGCTTTTTCCGGATCCATAGTCCTTTCAGTAATGACAAACGGGATAACCTTTTCAAAACACAGCTAAACCCTGCAACTACTGTGAAGAAACGGTAATTTGATCTCTTCCTCAGATCGTTATGAGACAAACACTCATGGGTCGTGACATCATCTTTTGTTTCGAATACCTTACTCTATGGCTGATACTATTTTTGTCCCACTTCATATAAGCAGACAACTATCGAATGAGAAATATCTCAAGGAAGGATCACATTTTAATATGCAACTTCATCCAATATATTTTGAATTTCATTTGTCCATTAAAGGGGAGTAATTAATGACAAGTCATAAATCCTCATCAATCATGTAATCACAAGTAATGCGTGCAAAGCAAATAATATTTCATGCCCTGACGATATGAAAACTATTCACATACTCAATCAATATAAACTAACAGGTAGCTGTTAGTCCTATAATACTATTTTCCACAAATTCATCACCATTGCCAGACTGTTATCTGCTCATTTGTAGTAGTGCTATATATTTTTAAAAAACACATATACTAACCTTCAAAAATCTTACAAATGAATTGGAGGAAAAAACGGAGAATGAAATTTTAGCTCAAAGCGATCAATTTATTTGTTACCACCAAAATTCAATGTATGATTGACTGGTAACGACAGTGAAGTTTGTTCACAGCGCTTATGACCATCGCTATCAAATTTATTAGACTTTGAACTCCGAAAATAAATGTGACCCTTCAAAGCGACAGTATCGAAATGAATGAAAGACAACTGACAATACAATTAGAAATTGATACATTTTGTCCAATAAAATTTTGGCCTTTGCAAATGAAATATAGGAATTTCAACGGAAAACTGAATAAGCTAGTTGATAGAAGGAAACAAGTTTTTCATTCACTCAGTAAATAAACTCGCATACAGATTTCAACCGAAAATGGAAAAAATTTTTTTGGGAATAGAACCTGGGAGTTACCAGAACTTCAAACTTCAAACATTTCTATCGGTACTGAATATATATTAAGCAGTCTGCTAACTTTTTGACCAATTTACAGTTAATGTCGATTGTTATTTAATAAAAACATGAAAATGTCACGATTCTAAGACAAGAACATAATATGCTATAAATGAAGTTTCAATAATCAGTAGGATGTGATGAGGGTAAGGAGCCCGTTTTGAAAATGTCGTCTGAAACAGCTTTTATTCGATCTGCATCCCCAGTTCGTTTTGATATATCGTCCAGCAGGTTGCGCACATGTTCACACGCCTAAAACAGATCGTCTCACTTGATAGAAGCTAGAAATAATATGAGACGTTGGTAAAGTTAAACTGTTCGGTGAAAAAATTATCTCCTTCATAGGTAAACCTTAGAGTCAACTCAATTACAGATATGGAGGAAGATGTATATTATGATTCAAAAATGATTTGTTTATTACATTTTAATTTTCTCGTTCTAGGGAACGAAAAAATTAAAATTTGGTCCAAACAAAATGAATTAGAAAAATTTTTTACTTTAAGCAGTAATTAAGGGCGATAATTAAATAACTCAATACCAAAAATATTGTTGTAACGACCATCAATCCTACAATTTTTACAAGCTGGAAATTTCTATGGGACTTTTGGTTTTGCTTTACTATGTTCAACTAACCCGCAATGTATAAAGTTCGGCTAATTTTTGTTCATATTTAAAGGAAGACTGCTGGTTTGCAGCACGGTTACACCGCGACAATACCGCTACTACACTATAAATATCAATCGCTGCATCTGCCATTCGTATCAATTCCCACTGTCTTTCTTAAAGAGACGATATTAATAATTAACTGTCAATAATCAAGACAAAAATTTAATCTCCACAAAAACTATTGTCTGTATTAGTGAACAAACGTTTCCTGACTAAAAAGGTTCTATAGTGAAACTTGAGTCGATATATATTGTGAGTTCTGATCAAAGTACCATCCAGCAGAAAATAATATGAACTAATCTAAGGATTGTTTTATAAAGGAAAATACTTCTAAGTAATAGCAATCCACCAAGCTGTTTATAAATATGTGAATTTCCCACCCAAAAGAATACATACCCAGATCTGTGATATTTCGCAAAAAACTATAATTTAATAATTACCAATTATTCCTCGCTTATGTTTCCAAAGAAGAAATCTTGAAGTATTCCCAAATCTGTGCACAGATTTCTTCAGTTGGGAGACAGAATGATTCAGGCTCGGATGGCATTGGAAGTCAAACTTCCTACAAACATATGTAGTATTAAAGGAAAGATACAAAAAAAAAGAAATCCTGGAATACAAAAGTAAAAGGTTGGACAGAACATAAAAATCTTTACAACCTTTCGAAAAAGGCAAAGAAGTAAAGCTTTAGCTCAAATTTCGCATTAAATTTTATGTTCAATGATAGGATTTCAAAGCAAAAAAATCAAGCAAGAAAAACAACCGTGGAAGAATGGATTCTAAAAGTAATCCAATTGTTCCAGACCACGACTTTTTCATTTTGTATTGAATGTAGTTGCCCGCATACTGAAAATTCATTCAAAAGGAATATTTTTCATGTAAATATACTCAACTACAAACCTAAATGACATTTTATCTATCGGTACAATTGATAAATATCATAGCAATACATAAGACTACCTGTAATCCAGTCAACGCAACAAATAAGCGCAAAACATCATTGGCACCCTCGAAAATGCGGAAAATCCTTAAATCACGCATTACTCTTTCCAAACCGCATTCCTTCATGTAACCCATGCCGCCATGAAGTTGGATGGCGCGATCACATACAATCCAGGCATTCTCCTCAAATTAAAATTCAAAGTTTGAGATTTCGTATTTAAAATACCGGAAATGCAACAATGCAAGTTGCCTTATTAGAAATAACAAACAGCATTTATAAAAGCACAACTTACCGAAGCCATAATTTTCCCCACAGCAGCTTCCAGCTCATAATCCACTATGCCTCTATCCATTGCTCCTGACAACATGTATAAAAGACTCTAAATAAATTTCGTGATATCTTAAAAAAATTATAATAATAATTCGAAATTCGAAATAATCGCATAATTCGAAATAATCGTTGCTATAAAATGAAAGGGTTACTTCAGTGGCATAGTGGCGAAGAACCATGTCAGTTAATTGTTCTTGGACGTTTCCGAACTCCTTCAGTTTTCTTCCGAACTGCCCTCTTTCTGAGATGTGTTCAATCTAAATGAAAGTTTTGAGCCTCGGAACGAGTAAGCAGAAAGTAACTGAAATACCACACAAAATTTCCTTTTAAAAAAGATTTATTGCGATAACATTACCGTCTTTTGAATACAAAATTTCATGGAACCGGTGCATACAGCAGGTATGCCAAAACGGCCGTTGTTTAAGATATTCATCGCCAATTTGAAGCCTTCACCTTCAGCTGAAGAAATTAGAAACAATATTTATGCAGCAAAAATTTATCGTTTACTACAGAAAATCAGCAATGGAACATAATTATAACGAGAATAATTGAAAAGTGAAATCGAAGAGAACTGAAGTGTTTACAAAAGAAATTCCAGAATATTTAAGAAAAAATGAACAAAACGAACCACCAAGCAAATTATCCACAGGAACTTTAGTATTATCAAAATGGACTTCGACGGTTTTTGAACCTTTAATACCCATTTTCTTCTCAGGAACACTCGTTGTAACACCGCCATGGCTACGCTCAACTATGAATGCTGATATCTTGCTTTTTGGTGTTCCATCCTTACCTTTCACTTGCGTCTAAACATGTAACTGTAATAGTTGACTTCCACAATTTTGTACTCGTCAAACACTTTAAAGCGTTACCATTTCTAAAATGCCGAAAACTCGGAAAATCTAATTAAGTGACTATGGCTTGATATTGAAAGTTTGTAAAGAAACTAACGAGACAAAGAGCATTCAAAAGAGGTAATTAATTTAATTTCATTCAAAATAACAGAAATTACCCGTGCAAAAACAGTGAATACATCAGCGAATGAACCATTACTGATCCACAGTTTGCCACCATTCAAAACATAACATCTTCCATCGCTACTTTTCTCTGCATGAGTTTGTACTGACTAAAAAACCTCAAAGATTAGATAAAAATTAATGAAAAAAAGTTCGCCACCTTCGATGGACCAGGAAACTTTAGTATGCTTGGAAAAATCTAAGATCAGTGCAACTCAAATGACTACTTCAGTCAAAAGAAACGTTGATTACGAAAGAAAAAGAACTATACTAAAAAGACGCAGTACATTTGCATCGGATCCGGTGCCCGACTCTGTTAAACAGAAAGCGGCGAACTTCCGACCCGTGGCCAGATCTGGTAAATATTTACGTTTCTGTTCATCGGTACCGTAAAGCAAAATTCCTTTATAGCCAATAGACTGCAAATATCTATACAACAGCTAGAATCAATTCAGGGCATAAATCAGTCCTGCGAAACAAGTGATCAAATTTATAACAATAAGCTTATTAACTCTTTCTCTGGTTTTATTAAAAAGTTCAAAACTTCCGTAAAATTTGAAATAAGAAAAATTAAGGAAAAATTGTAAAAAAATACCTCCTGCAAATGCACAAATGCAAACATATGTACAATTTTATATTTCAATTTCAAAACATAATGGCATACAATATATACTAATAATAGCATATAGTACCATACTAATAGCATACATATTTAAAGCACACCTGATGAGCACCCATAACGACAGCAAGTGACAAATCCGATTCACCAACAACCTCTGCTACACGTGCTAATTGAGTATTATTCAGACCTGCACCATCATATTCTTCTGGTACCAGGGCACCAAATGCACCAATTTCAGCAAATTTCGAGAGAGTATCCATCGGAATTTCTTCTTTCTCGTCATTCCTAGAATAAAATCTTAGAAAACCCATAAATCTCACCGAAAATTGTCCCATAAATCTCATTTTGTGTACGTCATTACAGTGTAATAATAACAGATAGGAATTTTTGATGACGGGCAGTAACCTTAAAAGTAATCCCGAAGCAAGATGGAGAATTTTACAAATAGCTTCAGATCAGATCAGCCTAACAATACGGCAATTATCAAGCATCACATCCCAATACTAACTACCAAAAAAGTCCAACCGATCATATGATGCAATTAAAGTGGTACAAACTCTGCGGGATTATTAACTTCTTCCATAAACTTTCTTGTGGGTTCCAAAATCAGATGAATCATTTCCCGTCTTTCATCGGATAAATCAACTGGATATGGCACCACGTGATCGAAAACTCCCCTACCCAAAAATATGTTTTTGACGAAAGAAGTTGAAATCTAAAATATTTAAATATTAATACAAACAGATTTAAATATTAATACAAACAGACAATTTAACAACAGTCCCACATGTAGAAGGAATGATTTATAATACCGAAAACAAACTTTTATTTTTGACTAAATTTGACTAGATCCTTTCACATTTGGCAAGCCTTAATCCGTCGATTAAGTTACAACCTTGGATGTGGTTGTTGTCAACTCCTCCGATTTAGCTTTATTTGTCAATGATCGGTAACAAATCTTTCCAAGAATAAATCTGAAACCAACAAGGGATGAATCAATGAAAATATGAATGATTCGTTACTTGAAAAATAAAAAACTAAATAAAAAATAATTACCGGCATTCTGAGATCAGCACACGAAACTTGGCATAACCAGTACACATTGACACTTGCTGCTAAAATAAATTTTACAACAAACGTGCTCTTCACTGAAACTTTCCTGAAGTGTATGTCATTACGATTAAAATTTGTAAAAATGCGAACTTTTTCACTGGATATTATTATTAACATGATGAAGTATCGTGAAAACTTTTAAAAAATGCGAGAAACAAGCAATCCTCAAAGTGTGTCTAACTATAAGAAATATAAATCTGTTGATCGAAGTTCATAAAGAATTCCCTTAAGCCAAAATTGAGGGATGAAAGGACATGCGGAACATCAAGCTCGCTTCTTATTCAGGTACCTTTCGAACATCCGAGCATCTCTAAATGCACGTTCCAGAGTCATGGGAAGTTTCCGTAACTAACTAAACAAAGAGTTAATGAAAAATGAACTGTCGGTTAGTGAATGCCTTGACGAATCAACGTTTCACGAATGCACAGTGCAAATACCTATCCTTTTTTTTTAAAATACATTTACGCTGTAAGCTGTATCCGAAGCCGGATAGTATTTAATCATGTTGTATTTAATCGTTCATCGTAACTAAACTCCGATGATTATACGATGAAGTTTATGAATTGTAGATAAAAGGCTAAAATTCACTTAGATATTCCAACCGATGTTTCAAACTTCTGATTGGATATTTTTGAAAAAATTTTTATTCCTTCAACTGTCCGAACAAACGCTAGCACGTACTCAGAGCACGAAGCTGAACAACACAAAAAGATATCTAAGAGGATGAAGAGCGAAGACGAGAAATGAAGCAATACAGCAACACTTCACTTACAGACTTTGAACTCTGCCGATAGTTATAGGATGTTGCTCGAAAAATTGAGAACATAGTACAAAGTTCGACGACTCCTTCATCTTCGCCATCAATCAGCCATTTAACCTACATAAAAACATTCATATACATGTTCACGTTCGTATATGTTACAGTCTTTGCATAAGTGGGTGAAAGCAGTCGAAATTCTCAGAGGAGAAATATACGGTGTGACAAATACCGATGAAAATGAATACATTGGGTACATGCAACTAATACGTACAACAAATCTTTATCACAAAAACGAAGTGATGAGCTTCGACAATTCCCTATGGCAATTCATCCAGAAACACCGAATCATTTTTCTGACGTCAGCTACCATAACAATCGAAAATTGTAAACGATTGATGCATAACCTAAATTCGAAACAGAAAATGCAATGAAGAAATTTTACAATCGTCCTTAATTTGTGTGATCATTTAACAAAATACAATCATGCATCAAACTACCAACAAAAATCTATTATTTTTCTAGAACTTAACCAACACTGAATTTACATCCACCTTTCAAAAGATGGAACATGGGAAAACATAATGATAGCAAAATGAGCGAAAGATCGGTGCACAGTAGCGCCAATATAACAAGATATGCTGTAATGATCGACTGAGCATTGCAGAATTTTGAACCCTCGGTATTTAAATTCAGCTACCTTATAAGCGAGCAGAAGCATTTGACTGGAGTCAAATAACTTTCCAAAAATTATTTTGAAATGAAACCATTTCTGTGGAATAGATCTGCAGTAATCTTGAACAAAAAACTATGACTTTCTTGTCAGCATCATTTGGTAAAAGTTTTCATGACCAAGCAAATCCCAGAATGAAATCGAAAAGCAATAGCAACTGCAGTGGAAAATTCAAAACACATCGAGAGTGACTTTAAGTCAATACCAAGGAAAAAATGCAAGAAAGTTTCAAGGAATTTTTCACAGTCCAAAAGGAACGCAAAGAAAAAAAAATCAAGTGGTAAGGAAACTGGTTGCACAGATGAGAGGATAAAGCCATACTACTGCAAATGAAAAAAAAAAAAGAATGAAGATATATCACGAGAAATAATTCTAAAAGATAAGATAAAAAACACTGCTTCGGCTGATCATGGTGAATAAAATTAAATGAGAGATAGAAATATTACTGTTAAAAAGAATAATGTATGATCTGAACAATAATCATCCATCAGTAAATACTAGACTCCGCCACTCAAGCGGGCTCGCTTCGTCGTCGGCTCCGATGATGAGCCTGAAATAAAAAGCAAAATAATAAAAAAGACCTTATTATGACCTCTTGGAATTTATTAGTTTCGTAAAAATTAAAGCATAAGTCTTTCAAACAAAATATATGATGGTCGTCAATCAATATTTTAATGAACCAGCTAGCAGGGTAATGGTAGAACAAAACAACCGCCCTTGGCGTCATTATTCTTTTAAAAAACAAATCTTTGTGAATATCTCCAAACTTCTTCCGCTCAGCAACATTAATGTCGAACACTGATATCAACCTAATGGTTGGCAATTTTATAACATTAAAAACAAATCATAGAACTCTCTATTGCCATCACCGTTCCAAATTTTATTACATAAAAAGAGCATACTTGGGCTGCTGCTAGCGCTCAGTGAACGAGGATCACTACTGGATATTGCGGCAACAACTTCAGTAACTAGAGTTGGATGCTCCTTCACCAATTCTGTCCAACCATCCGTCTAAATACTGGTAATAAAATGATGTTTTATGATCATCCATAACTTTCTTATAACAAGAACTTTCTATAATTAGGAAATATCTCTTGCCAAACCAAAAGTACAAAATCTTTTCTATATGGAATGAATGATACGAATGATACTAAAGCATTTGAAGAAGACATAGATGAAATGAGAACATTCTGAACTTAAATCCCTATCCAAACCAAAAGAGTACTTCAACTTTTCTAAGCAAAATAAGCGGGATGTAAATAAATCGAAGCAACTGAAAAAAAAGTTAAATATGTAACTCCTTAAAAGTGATTCTTTATCAGAAGAATCAGTGTGATATTTAAAATAGGTTCATATTCATTGGATATTGCTGTATGGAGATAATTCACATAACAGTGGCCAAGAAATATGAAAGTAAAACGGCTATATAATTTTTATACAAAAATAAGACGAAGAAAAGTCAGGGAGGAGATCTGAATCTGATAGAGCATAAAAAAATATTTTCCCGTAATATATAAACAGCTAGAAAAACACCAAACAAAAAAAAAAGAAAAAACGATTTGAAACTTGGATTGCCGAAAGAAAACTTGGATTTCAGGATTATCATCACTTATCATCATCGAGTAGTGGCAAAAGTTTGGTTCACATAGAAGTAAAAACATACAGTGATAATGGAAGATGAGTTTTGTGCAATGAACTTGATGGCATCGGATTTCAACTCTCGTGCATTGTGCATATCAGCGAAGACCAAATAACGACAAGCAGATTCCACTATCAATCCAGTGCGAAGAACCTTAAATTCACTCAAAGAAATCATCAAGCAGTTGAACTGAGTAGAAAGTACGTACTGTCAAATAGCTTCATTTTCAGTTACCATTCGATTATTAAATTCCTTAGAATAGTTTGAGAAACCTTAGCTAGAATGACATTCATGATTTCTATTGAAGATTTAACGAAGCGGCACGAAATCATAAATATTGAATTGGTTTATTTTTATTAGTTTTCAACATTTGACTCCTCATCACCTATATCATGGAGGAATAATAATATACTATCCTCACAATTTTCCATAGAATTTGCAGAGAAAAATTACTCAGAACAGACCTGATCAGCCATCTCTTTGAGGCCTGGAAGCTGGAAACGATCCGCTGCTGCTAAAAGATCTAAGGCCATATTAGATAAATTGGGGGATCGACCAGTGTACATGTAGAGCAGCAACTCTTGCATTACCTGTAAATCCAGCACAAGCAAACAGTTCGACAAGCTATCACTGTAGGAGATAATGAAATATCATTAAAGTGAACTAAAGAGAGGAAAACATAACATCGTTACCAGCTTATTCGATTTCTACTGGCAATCAGTATGTTCTGAAGAAGTACAATTCGATCAAATAAAAACGAGTGAAAATTCGACTCAATTCAATAGGTAAAAATAAAAATTAGTGAATTAAAGAGGCAGAACGAATATCCAGAAACAGCAGAATTGCTGCGAAGATTGGAGAACGAACTAAGAGTATTATTATCTGAAGAACGGCAATTCGACGTCTACTGGCAACTATTGTAAAATCGGCAAGACGTTC